GTTTTCGCTGAGTTGTTTAACGTTGACCCAAAATTGGTCTTCGAGAGTCTATAACTTCACCAAATTTCATCCGATTTCAAAGTGACATACCTCCTAAGACTTGTGATTTAATTCTCTAAAAATCTGCATTCAAGACTTTCCATTTAACGTTAATCAAATTTTTGATCCATTTTCATGTAAGTTATTTCTAATTTTTCGATGACTTGTTTAACGTTGACCCAAAATTGGTCTTCGTGAGTCTATAACTTTACCAAATTTAATCCGATCTTAAAGTGGCATACCTCTAAAGACTTGTGATTCAATTCTCTAAAAATCTGCATTCAAAATTTTCAATTTATCGTTGGTCAATCCGATCTTAAAGTGGCATACCTCTAAAGACTTGTGATTCAATTCTTTAAAAATCTGCATTCAAAATTTTCAATTTATCGTTGATCAAATTTTTGACCCATTCTTATGTTAGTTATTTCTAATTTTCCGACGACTTGTTTAACGTTGACCCAAAATTGGTCTTCGAGAGTCTATAACTTTACCAAATTTAATCCGATCTTAAAGTGGCATACCTCTAAAGACTTGTGATTCAATTCTCTAAAAATCTGCATTCAAAATTTTCAATTTATCGTTGGTCAAATTTTTTTACCCATTTTCATGTTAGTTATTTCCAAGTTTCGCTGAGTTGTTTAACGTTGACCCTAAATTGGTATTCGAGAGTCTATAACTTTACCAAATTTGATCCGATTTCAAAGTGACATACCTCCTAAGACTTGTGATTTGATCCTCTAAAAATCTGCATTCAAAATTTTCAATTTATCGTTGATCAAATTTTTGACCCATTTTCATGTAAGTTATTTCTAATTTTTCGATGACTTGTTTAACGTTGACCCAAAATTGGTCTTCGTGAGTCTATAACTTTACCAAATTTAATCCGATCTTAAAGTGGCATACCTCTAAAGACTTGTGATTCAATTCTTTAAAAATCTGCATTCAAAATTTTCAATTTATCGTTGCTCAAATTTTTGACCCATTTTCATGTTAGTTATTTCCAAGTTTTCGCTGAGTTGTTTAACGTTGACCCAAAATTGGTCTTCGAGAGTCTATAACTTCACCAAATTTCATCCGATTTCAAAGTGACATACCTCCTAAGACTTGTGATTTAATTCTCTAAAAATCTGCATTCAAGACTTTCCATTTAACGTTAATCAAATTTTTGATCCATTTTCATGTAAGTTATTTCTAATTTTTCGATGACTTGTTTAACGTTGACCCAAAATTGGTCTTCGTGAGTCTATAACTTTACCAAATTTAATCCGATCTTAAAGTGGCATACCTCTAAAGACTTGTGATTCAATTCTCTAAAAATCTGCATTCAAAATTTTCAATTTATCGTTGGTCAATCCGATCTTAAAGTGGCATACCTCTAAAGACTTGTGATTCAATTCTTTAAAAATCTGCATTCAAAATTTTCAATTTATCGTTGATCAAATTTTTGACCCATTCTTATGTTAGTTATTTCTAATTTTCCGACGACTTGTTTAACGTTGACCCAAAATTGGTCTTCGAGAGTCTATAACTTTACCAAATTTAATCCGATCTTAAAGTGGCATACCTCTAAAGACTTGTGATTCAATTCTCTAAAAATCTGCATTCAAAATTTTCAATTTATCGTTGGTCAAATTTTTTTACCCATTTTCATGTTAGTTATTTCCAAGTTTCGCTGAGTTGTTTAACGTTGACCCTAAATTGGTATTCGAGAGTCTATAACTTTACCAAATTTGATCCGATTTCAAAGTGACATACCTCCTAAGACTTGTGATTTGATCCTCTAAAAATCTGCATTCAAAATTTTCAATTTATCGTTGATCAAATTTTTGACCCATTTTCATGTAAGTTATTTCTAATTTTTCGATGACTTGTTTAACGTTGACCCAAAATTGGTCTTCGTGAGTCTATAACTTTACCAAATTTAATCCGATCTTAAAGTGGCATACCTCTAAAGACTTGTGATTCAATTCTCTAAAAATCTGCATTCAAAATTTTCAATTTATCGTTGGTCAAATTTTTTACCCATTTTCATGTTAGTTATTTCCAAGTTTCGCTGAGTTGTTTAACGTTGACCCAAAATTGGTATTCGAGAGTCTATAACTTTACCAAATTTGATCCGATTTCAAAGTTGCATACCTCTAAAGACTTGTGATTTGATCCTCTAAAAATCTGCATTCAAAATTTTCAATATATCGTTGATCAAATTTTTGACCCATTTTCATGTTAGTTATTTCCAAGTTTTCGCTGAGTTGTTTAACGTTGACCCAAAATTGGTCTTCGTGAGTCTATAACTTTACCAAATTTAATCCGATCTTAAAGTGGCATACCTCTAAAGACTTGTGATTCAATTCTCTAAAAATCTGCATTCAAAATTTTCAATTTATCGTTGATCAAATTTTTTACCCATTTTCATGTTAGTTATTTCTAATTTGTCGATGACTTGTTTAACGTTGACCCAAAATTGGTCTTCGTGAGTCTATAACTTTACCAAATTTAATCCGATCTTAAAGTGGCATACCTCTAAAGACTTGTGATTCAATTCTCTAAAAATCTGCATTCAAAATTTTCAATTTATCGTTGGTCAAATTTTTTACCCATTTTCATGTTAGTTATTTCCAAGTTTCGCTGAGTTGTTTAACGTTGACCCAAAATTGGTATTCGAGAGTCTATAACTTTACCAAATTTGATCCGATTTCAAAGTGACATACCTCCTAAGACTTGTGATTTGATCCTCTAAAAATCTGCATTCAAAATTTTCAATTTATCGTTGATCAAATTTTTGACCCATTTTCATGTTAGTTATTTCCAATTTTTCGATGACTTGTTTAACGTTGACCCAAAATTGGTCTTCGTGAGTCTATAACTTTACCAAATTTAATCCGATCTTAAAGTGGCATACCTCTAAAGACTTGTGATTCAATTCTCTAAAAATCTGCACTCAAAATTTTCAATTTATCGTTGATCAAATTTTTTACCCATTTTCATGTTAGTTATTTCCAAGTTTTCGCTGAGTTGTTTAACGTTGACCCAAAATTGGTATTCGAGAGTCTATAACTTTACCAAATTTGATCCGATTTCAAAGTGACATACCTCCTAAGACTTGTGATTTAAATCTCTAAAAATCTGCATTCAAGACTTTCCATTTAACGTTAATCAAATTTTTGATTCATTTTCATGTAAGTTATTTCTAATTTGTCGATGACTTGTTTAACGTTGACCCAAAATTGGTCTTCGTGAGTCTATAACTTTACCAAATTTAATCTGATCTTAAAGTGGCATACCTCTAAAGACTTGTGATTCAATTCTCTAAAAATCTGCATTCAAAATTTTCAATTTATCGTTGATCAAATTTTTTACCCATTTTCATGTTAGTTATTTCCAATTTTCCGATGACTTGTTTAACGTTGACCCAAAATTGGTATTCGAGAGTCTATAACTTTACCAAATTTGATCCGATTTCAAAGTTGCATACCTCTAAAGACTTGTGATTTGATCCTCTAAAAATCTGCATTCAAAATTTTCAATATATCGTTGATCAAATTTTTGACCCATTTTCATGTTAGTTATTTCCAAGTTTTCGCTGAGTTGTTGACCCAAAATTGGTATTCGAGAGTCTATAACTTTAACAAATTTGATCCGATTTCAAAGTGACATACCTCCTAAGACTTGTGATTTGATCCTCTAAAAATCTGCATTCAAAATTTTCAATTTATCGCTGATCAAATTTTTGACCCATTTTCATGTTAGTTATTTGCAATTTTTCGATGACTTGTTTAACATTGACCCAAAATTGATATTCGAGAGTCTATAACTTAACCAAATTTAATCCGATCTTAAAGTGGTATACCTCTAAAGACTTGTGATTCAATTCTCTAAAAATCTGCATTCAAAATTTTCCATTTAACGTTGATAAAATTTTGGACCCATTTTCATGTAAGTTATTTCTAATTTTTCGATGACTTGTTTAACGTTGACCCAAAATTGGTCTTCGTGAGTCTATAACTTTACCAAATTTAATCCGATCTTAAAGTGGCATACCTCTAAAGACTTGTGATTCAATTCTCTAAAAATCTGCATTCAAAATTTTCAATTTATCGTTGGTCAAATTTTTGACCCATTTTCATGTTAGTTATTTCTAATTTTCCGATTACTTGTTAAACGTTGACCCAAAATTGGTCTTCGAGAGTCTATAACTTTACCAAATTTAATCCGATCTTAAAGTGGCATACCTCTAAAGACTTGTGATTCAATTCTCTAAAAATCTGCATTCAAATTCGCCAATTTGTTGTTGATCCATTTTTTGACCCATTTCCATATTAGTTATTTCCAGTTCCTATTTTCCGATACATTTTCCGATTGTTCCTATGGCAGCAATAGGATATAATCGTCCGATCAGCGAGATATTTTACCATAACATAATTTTTTCAATAAATCCTAAAAAAATGTTTTGGAAAGTTTTATGTATGCATGCGTTCTATAGGACAGCGACCGAGCGGTCATCTTCATCGCTTATTGAAGGTGACTTTTTGCCAACTGACTCCGCACGGAGTTGGCGACTTTCTGATTGTTTCAGTACTCGTGCGGTAGTCGAATGAAAGCTGCCGACGGATGTGAGTGAAAGCTTTCCTGAAATAAAGCGCCTGCGCCTGTCAGTTGAGTGGATTTCGGAATTGTGGGTGGCGCCAAAATTAGCTTGAGTGGTTTCCGAACAGACACGTCGAGTTTCTGTGATTTCGTTGAATCCCGCACAGCCCCTTAAAATAAAAAATTTTACGCTTTTCGGCCGGTGAGTTCGTGAATACCTAGAGAGCCCTAGGAGAAGGCGTAATTTTCATATTTTCCTCTATAAAAAAATTGAAAGTGATTCAAACCGCGCGCCAAAATGGTAAAGTACCATTGGTGTGACCAGTTGTTGCTCACGAATATCGAAGGAAGCGCAATCGATATGTGACGTTTAGCGGAGCTGTTTTTCACATCGCTAGCCCAATTTTGGGGTCCCCAAAATAAACAAGGCAAGGAAAATACAACAAGAGCGCTAATTCAGAAACTGGCGCACTGAAAACCACCCGACTTGGCCTTGCTTGCTCCCGGCATGTCTTGCTGCGGGAGGCGCAGCGCCTAGATCGCGCAGCCGCCGCTGGAGCGCCCTGCCCGCCACGCATTATGCAAGTTGCAGCAACGGATCGGATCCAACTGTACCCGCCCAGCCGCCAGTGGAAGTGGAGGAGCCAGAAGAGGAGTCCCAGCCCAGCGCCCATGACCGTTGACCCACCCCCTACACAATCGGTGAGCAAACGGCAGATTGGTCGCCTCCGGCCGGCTGACCAAAACTAAGACTCATGGTACCTCTTGCAGTTATGAACCAGAGACATTCCGAACCATTTTATATATCGCCACGGCTGTTCGACAACAGGCGGCTCAGGCGGCGCCGCGGTCGGTGGATGGAACGCCTGCGAGAGCGCCAGCGGATCTGCTTGGCCCAGAAGCGCACCCAGACCCTGGCTTCCAAGACTGAGCGTTTGTCCCAGCAGCAGCGCTATGCGGCCGCCACCCTGCCCGCGGACGTGACAATAGACTTGCTATCAGATGAAGACGACGACGCTAGGGAAACGGCGGGACCGTCCACTGCCGCTAGCCACAATCGCGATCTGATTCCAGCCCCCGTCGCCAGGCAACGACGGCCTACAGAGCGTAGAAGACAGGCGAGAACCCCCTCCTACACCGTGATTGAGAGTATCCTAATACCAAGCGACGACGAGCACAACGACCAGGAAGCCAGCAGCATGGCCATAGCGCGCCCACAACTTTCCATGCGCTCGCCACCACCGCTCGCACCGCTCACCCTCTCGGAGAGCATGGAGGAAGTCACTGTTTCGCTGGTGCCACGCACCTCCACCACTGCCAACTGCCGGACACGAGTACCCGGCCACCTTAAGCCCTGCCGTGCGCCGAATCCGGCCACCAACGGGGTGGGAATGTCCGGAGGAGGGGGCGGCAACGATACAAGATGCTTTCTGGAGGTGGACGTGGGCGGTGGCATCTCAGCCACCCTGCCTGACGAGACCACCGTGCATACGGTCATCGCCAACCGCATCTACGAACTCTCGCTTAGCAAGCTACGGGAAGGCCTGGCCTCCAGTGGAGTGCCGGAGTACACGCACGACCTGCTGCCTGAACAGCTGCAGAAACTGTCGCCAGCATTGCGCGCCAAAGTGGCACCTCTGGTGGCGCCCTCTCCGCCTACGCCCATCTCCCTAAAACTGTCCAGCGACCTCAGCATATCACTGATCTCAGACGACGACGACTGCGAGAGCAGCGGCCCACATGCGAGTGGAGGCGGATTTGGCACCGAGCTGGTGCATCCTGTTGTGGTGGCAGCGGCGGAGGCCCACGCGGCCGCCAAGCTGCTCAAGCAGCAGCAGCCGCAGCTCTCGGTCGTGCAGCACCTGCAGTACGTTGGAGCGGGACTGGCGGCACCCGTGGCTTTGGCCGTCCCGGTAATGGGGCACGCGACTTCGTCCGCATCTGCGGTGGCTGTGCCGCTGCAACTTCCACAACGCCGGAAGCTGCGATGAGCCAACTAAGGACTGTACTCTGATCCTGATGCGCAGTCCGACCCGAACACACTTCGCCATGATATCATTCCCCGTGCAAATATGAACTTAGATTTAGCGATATCCCATCCGAGTTTCCCAGTTACCCTTACACTGTGCCGAGTGATTACTCGGCCGTTTTTCCTCCCATTATCTTTCCATATCACACGCTCTCCATCTCACTCTGTTTCGTTTCCCTTTTCTCTCCCTGTCTCTGTTTTTCTCATATTTTAAGCTTTAAAAGAAACGAGACGACAACGTACAAAAGAAAGTAGAAAAGCATCAAACCATATATTTGAGAAAAAAATAACATTTTTAACATTAATAGGGATTAGACAATTTGGAAGCGCGAGGTTAAGATGAACCCAATATTTATACCGTGCAGGTAGTTAGATTAAGTTATGCATTATGCACATTTGATTTAGTGGATCGTACTTGGGTGAATCTGAAGTGTGATTTGTCTCAGCCCGCAATCTGTATTACATTTAACTGATCACTGAATCGGAATAAACATTTATTGTATATACCTGTACATTCCTATCAACCAGACTTTTTTCACTAGGAACACTAATCATTCTAAAAACATAAGGAATGTGATGTGCTATGCTCCAAAAGTCCAATAAGCTTAAAAATATTATTTTAGTAATACGTAAGTATTGTTTTGCTGCCTACCAATTTAAACAACTCTTCTTTAACGAGGTATAAATATTACAATGTTTCTGCGACCAGAAATCTACTTTCTTCATAAAATAAGTTGTATTCTTTAATAGTTTTAAAAAGCACTGACTGTCTACGCTCTTTTTAAAGCTTTAAACACAAAATAAATAGTGTAGTCCCCGTCAATTAGCAGAGTCCCCTGGATCGTGTCCCAGTTTTTTGTGGATCCTGCCTAACCAATGCAACTGCTCCGGCTAATTTCGGTGTGCCTATTATGTACCCACCTTCCTCATCGGTTGATATTTGGCAGATTAGAAAAGGCAACGCCCACCGGTAAGGGCAAGCAGATCGGGATGATTACCAGTGTCTGTACAGTGACTCAATTTTTGGTCATCAGGATCAGTGCGATCCCCGTAACGTATACGCAAGGGTGTGTGTTCAAGGTTCCGTTCGACAAATTATGGAAATGCGTCGACTCCTTTTCACCGGGTACTCCCTGAACCGCGACTGTTCACCGACCAATATTTCGTGCGTAAACTCGTACCGCGCCAGATGGCTCATGATGTAAAGTGAGCGTCGCGGCAGGAGAACATCCGCGGAGTGGCCAACGGTATCTTTGGTGGCCCGCTTTAGTCGCATAACGCAGTCGCTGAGCAGGCTGATGCCCGCGATGGTGTGCCCGCAAAACTGTTGATAATAGGGATAATCGAATTTTGGAACACTTTCAATGGGCTGGTCCAACTCACCCGAGTGCTGTCTACGTGCGGTTTAACCATGCCAACCTCAGCCAGGTCCAGGACGTGGACGAAGGGCAACACATGACCGCCACAGGCCTCTCTGGAGACGCGGTCCAACACAGCACGACTGTGGGGTGTCCACTTCTTTCTCTCCACTTCGCGGTACCCATGGATCGCCTGAAAATGGCACAGATGGCACCACTGGAACCAGGTCAACTACATACATATACCCACATCATCCCAGTGACTTGACTCGTAAGGCAAGCGGCTGATGTGGGGCTCGATTTCCCGTATCAGGCGTTGTTCCTCTTTCTCCGTGACAAAATCACAGATCACACGCATGTTTGCTTGAAACTGTCGTCTTTCTAAACTAGACCACTGACCGGCAAACTCCACCAGACTCAAGCTGCGCCCCCTGACACCCACAAAATTGGCTCCCGGAGAAGCTAGTCGGCGTAGGACAAGCATGTGCGTCACGACACGCAGATTGCGTCACTAGCATTCAAAGGACTTCCGCCAATCGCCTATCGATTGGAGTCATTCGATTAACACAGCTGCTACCGTTGTGCCTTCTCGTAACGGTCAAGCAAGGACGTAGACTTGCCCGGCAGCAGGACACTGCTAGGACCAAAGGCCGGAACGTGCACCGTCGGAATGCAGGGATGCCAGGTCGCCAGGTGTCTTTGCTGGTCCGGGAACACTCGATTTCCAGCGAATGCCCACGCATGCGCCGGAACACCACGCAGTCCGCGCTCGGCTAGGGCGGAAACGCTTTCCGGTGTAGATATACCAGAAATATTTCTGCTCTTCAGCCGTATGCTGCGGCGGTGGCTGAGTGCAGAGAGCTGGGTGCAGAGTGTCGGTTTCGAGTACTGGTCGCAAATTGTGTCGAACGGATTTTAAAGAAGGTCGCTCCAGCTATGAGCTGTGGGGCATAGACCCGTTGTATTGTTAAACATTCCTGAATCGGCGAGTGCGTAATAGTTGCAGTTCCAGTTGCAGTCCCAAAAAAAGCCAGAAGCACCGCCGGCGGTGGCCCAGTGAACCGCCCACACACCCACATGTGCATAGGTACAGGCAAGATGAGATCCCCTGTGAAAACTCCCCGGAATGCATCCAAGTATCTGCACCGTGAACTTCTTTCCCCATCGCACTAGTCGATTCTGACAGAAATGGAGGCGTGCTGGAAAAAAACGCAATTGACCTCTTGGCACCGCACCTAAATCGAATCAAAAATTCCTTTGGAGCCCCGCAATTATGCCGATAGGAATGTGTGTACACACAGCACAGCCTCACAAACTCGTGTAGTGTGTGCACTGAAAAGTATACCTTGTTCCTCCGTGTGTACACATGTCTATTCCTGCCCCTTCCCTGGAGCTGTTGTTTGGGTACAACAGGCAAAGTGTCTACATGCATGTAGCGGGAAGGAGAGAGTGCGAAAAATTGCTGTACATGCCCACGCACATTCTGTTCCTTTTTTAAAAGCTCGTCATAAATGAAATCATAGATAAAATGTCACTACCCATTCGATATTGAAGTCGGGATATAGGGAATATTTTTGCATTTGGAAAAGTTAACTTTCCTTAGATTCTCTCATGTGGAGCGCTGTTGTCCAGATCCAGATCCAGTCACGCCTTCTGCTCAGTCCGCGCAGCAGAATTTGCGCACTCCCGTCGTCTCATGTGAAAGGTTCACCTCCACCACACCCTCTTGACGGTCCAAAGGTATGGGCGTGCAGTTGCGCCAGAGAACATATTCGAGCTGGTTTGCCTACACCACAGTTTAAGGATGCATGTGCAGGGTGTGAGCGGGTCAATGTGTTGTTGCCGGTGCCAAACGTAAACAAAGTCCATTGCAAACATTGCATTTTGACATTTTCCAATATCCTGGTGTCTTTTCCGCAGCTGGAACACAACTACTGAGCGCCACACACCTCAGAAGAAATCAGCAGGATGTTGATCCGGTGGAAGAGCAAAGACAAGAGCGCCTCCTCCAACCAGAGCGCCTGCGGCAGCAGCAGCTCCTCCTCGAAGAAGAAACGCAAGGGACGCGAGGGCGGTAAGTAGCCGCAAGCTAAGATAAGGGCTAGGTGGAGCAAGCCATTGGGTCAGGACAATGCCTAATTCGGTGGTGCCTCTGTTTCAGAAGAAGATTGGCAAAATGACGCCAAGTCGGGACGCCTTCCTCCAAATGAACAAGGTAAGTGCATCTGGCAGAGTTCCTGGTGAAACGTCCACTCATCCGGAACTCCTGCATATACATATATATCCTTAACCCAGTTGGCGAAGAGAGACGCAGAGCCATGCGACGCGACGATCCGCGTCGCCACACGCTCGGAGGCGATATATTGGTCTACGGCGGCTCTCAGCACCCTCACGCCCATCAGGTGGCGCCCCAGCAACAGCGCGCCATGGACTTGGAGGTAGGGACTTCAGTAGGAAACTCACACGAACAGTTTTTAATCCTACTCCCTTGCAGATGAGTACGCGCGCCCAAAAGAACAAAAAGAACCAGCCGATGAGGGGATATGCGCCCGTTAATCAGGGCCCACTGTTCGATGACGATCCGGGCATCATGTCAGAAGTAGAAACGGCTAGCACCGGATTCCGGAGGGGCGGCAAGCAGCGCTCCTCGCTCCCCGTAGTACGCACGCCATCCAAAACGCTGGAGCGGCCGCTGGGACTGGTCTTTCTACAGTACCGCTCGGAGACGAAGCGCGCCCTGCTGCCCAACGAGATCACATCGATCGACACGGTGCGCGCCCTGTTTGTGCGCTCGTTTCCGCGCCAGTTGACCATGTCGTACTTGGAGGGGCCCAACGTGAAGATCTACATCCACGACGCCAGTAAGGACATGTTCTACGAGCTGGAGGACGTGCGTTCGCATCTGCGAGAGATCCGCGACCGCTCTGTGCTTCGTCTCTTCGAGTCAACCGAGGTGGCGGCCCCGCCCCAGATCCTGCCCGGCGGGCCTGGCATCCCGCAGCCCCTGCCCCCGGCACAGGCTAACTGGGACCAGGATCAGAGCTATTTCAGCGAGCCGGAGTTCGACTCGGACTACAAGCATCAGCACATCCACAAATCAAAGGTGAGTGCCGGCTAGTTTGGCTAAAATAGTCCTTTATTTAGTATCACCGCGTAGTTGCTAGGGTGTGGGGCTCAAGGATGGGTGTCCATGAGCGAGTCAAGGATTGTTGGGGACCATGGCACCACTGTAAAGCGTTGACTCCCACATGGACATGGGGAAAGGTGGTTCGGGACAGAATATGCCAACTCCAAACGAATACTTACTCGTATGTATAAAAAAAATTCATTGATAAGATGTGGGACACTAGGATTATATCCGTTGTCCGTACTGGAAGTAGAACTAGAAGTTGCCGCATGGGCCCACGCTAAGGCCCTTGAGCGCGTTATTCATGTGCTCCCGCACATCCTTCCAGGCGAACACAATGGCGCCCTGAAAGGGCTCCGAGTGGCAACTGCTGCAGATGGCCATTACGGCCTTCACCTCCTCCTCGGCGGGCTCTCGGTCGTGCGTGCTGATCTCGTCCTCCAAACTCATTTTCATGGTCAGGTCCTGTTTGAACTGCATGCCACCAAAGTCGGCGAGGCCGTTGTAAATCTCGCTGGCGTCCGTTCCGGATCCGTCATCTACCACTGAACCGTTATCCAGGAGCACCAGTCCGCGCTTTTGCAGATTTTTTGCGTCGGCCTCACGCTTGAACTGAATGTGAGTCTCCGTTTCGTCGATGAACTGGACGTTCGCCGAGTTGCTCAGCATCTGAAAGCGGTTGCCTCCGCTAGGCTGCAGCTGGGCCTGGGCCGAACCGCTCGGCGGCAAGAGTCCTAGAAGCTGCTGGGCCACCAGCCGCGAGCCCGCGTTGATCTGTCCATTAACGAAATTTGTATTGATGGTAATGGCCTGCTGCGCGGGATCGCCAAGCCCACCGCCAGCGGGCAGGGCGGCTCCTGCTGCCGCTGGCGGCGGGTTGGCCAAGTTGATGCGCACTCGAGTCGGGATCTGACCACTGGCAAGCAGCGAGTGCATGGGCTGAGGACGGTTGATCTGGATGCAGATCAGGAGAAATGCAGGTTAGCTATATATCTATCTTTAACCGGAGAAGACTCCCAACTCACTGAGGGTGGGGCACGTGTGGTGCTGGAGACCTCCAGGCCCTCGTGATCGAAGTGGTGGACGTGGTGGTGCTTGTGATCACGGTGCGCTTTGCCGGCACTGAGTGCCACTCGGTAGACCTGAACCAGAGTCATCTCGAAGTGCAGGCCGTGACTCACCTCGCCGGTGACCGAACTGCCGCCGGAACGCAGCTTGCCGTTCGCTGGAATTTTATGACCCACCAACTGCATAGACAGGAAAGTAATTAAAGAGATTACAGCATCTGCCATTCGCACGCGTAAATTTAAAGCGCAAATATGGGATTTTGCAATTGAACGTAATTGGAGCTGAGTCTGCTCCACTTACCGAATTGTGGAAACCACGACCAATGCGTTCTGCCTTCAGCCATGCTTGCCACTCGCCCGTCTTGCCATTCCACGAGCTGCACATGTGATGCCACTGGCGCATTTTCAGCGGGTAGTTTAATCTTCGTCGGGGACGGTAAAGAGACCATTATTCAGCTGGATAGATTGACGGTTTAATCGACTTACCTGTACATTTGCTGACCTTTTATGGCCATCGAAAGGAAACTTGAATTCTGCGCATTTGCGACCCAGATTTGCACTTCGCGTTGTTCCTTTCCAGCTGTGAATGCATAAAAGTGGATCAAATTGGCTTTCATGCCATTAATGGCGAAACTAGTGAGATTTTGAAATCAAGCAGAGCAACATTCCCTACGCCGACACATCGGCAGAACGCTTTCCTAACCCTCATCCCACTTGATCCCATCCCATCTACTTGGGGCCAACCCAACTGAGTGGGGAGCCGTGGAGCTCGGTTATACAACCAGCGGCTGGGAGTGTGCACATGCGGCAAATCCTGTTAGGCTGCTGAGCATGTTGCGATATGCATATTCACATTTAAATGTGAATCACCGGCTGTGAGGAAAGCATTTCCTAGCGGCAGGCCGGGGAAAAATCCGGAAGCTCGAGTGCTGATCGCCGTCGCCGCGACTTCCCGCTACTTGAAGCTCTGGAATTAAGTCAAATGCAAAAGCCAGCTGATTCAGCTTAAGCTGCGCTCAGAGTGCGACGCCAACAATGCCGACAACATCCAACTGGAAACAGGTAAATTATCGCTTATGTAATGCGACCGCAACGACAGCTTCACAAGCACCAACAATTCAAGATAACAAAAACAACAACAGTTAAACATTTCCGAAAATCAAGACGATGAAAAACAAAGCGAATCTTAAAGGGTGCAGCCACCAGACCTAGTCAGTCAGCCGCCTCGACAATAGCACCAATCCTCCTCCCAAACGGAGCCAACATAGTGGTAAGCCAGCATCATCATTAGCACCATCATCGTGATCATCACCAACTTCGTTGAGCATCAAGCTGAGTGCGGGCAACTTGTCGCTTGGTCTGACTTGCGTCAGGAAGTGGGCTTCCTTTCACTTTCGTAGACAGGTGCGAGCGGCGGAGCGTGGCCACAGTTTTCATTGGCCACAGCGAAGGTCTCTTTCTGGCGCCGTGGCCCATCAAAAGATCGACGTCCGTTACCACTCGCCCTTCGCCCGTTGTCCGCTTATGCAACAGCGTTCGCCCGTTGAAAGTGGTCATTGTGGAGCCGTTGTCTCGAATGCCGCTGAAGCTAGTGCAAGTCACGGTAAGAGGCTAACCACCACCCAACCCGGTCGCGACCCACCCAAGCCCGCTCAGTCACTCACCCTCGTAGGTCAAAAGGACGTGGTCGCCACTGTGGTTGGTGAATCGCATCCAAAAGCAAAGTGTGAACTGGTCCAGCTCCGGTATCTGGTTGCCGTACTCTACCTGGCCGTCCTGGTTGAAAGCAAACTTCTTGACGCTGCAGCGATCGGAACCGTACAGCGGAGTCCGCGTGAAGGTCAGTGGCTCCTCGTCCTCGATACTGTAGGACTCATACTGGTCCTCCACATGATCTGCGAAGCTGATGGGGTGGACCACCGAGGCACTGGAGTCCCCTCCGCTTAAAATGACAGCTCGGCCCGGGAGCACCTCGTCCCCGACCGCTGCGGTCTCCTTTTCGTTGCCAAACTGCGAGAAGCTGGCGGACATTTCGTGGCTGCTGCTGGCAGTCCCCGGATGCGACTGCTTGAGGCTGTAGGAGGCGGTGCTGCCGCTGATCCCGGTGCTGCCGCCCAAACTAACGGCGATTGGCTTCCAGGCGAAGGAAACAGCCGCGTTTAGGAGCACGACCCTGAGCAGAGTTAGAGGAAGGCCCTGCGCCATTTTTATGATGTACCTTTATTTTGATCCCCGATTGAATTTGGATGTGTCTGGGAAGATTGACAATTGGCTCTTCCACGCGTCTGCAACGTCCGATTGCCGCGATGTCTCGCACTTCACTAATCATCCACGCATGCGCCATAGCCAAGTTGAGTTGCGCCGAAAACCTAGCCGCTGCCGTAACAATAACAACAGCAGCAGCTCTGCCCAACTGGCCGCTCGTCTGGCTCAGTTGTAACAAATTGTAAAAAAAACTGTTGTATTGAAACCGAAACTGGTTGAGGTTTGTCGGCTGCGCTGCTGTGGCAGTAGCAGGCAGTGAATGAGCAAAACACTTGCACTAGCTGCACTCCGGGGACCGCCGCCCATAGCCGGATGGTTCCATAATGCACCTTATGAGCAGTCGCTGTACTGGCAGAACCCAAATTGAGCCAAGCCTCACCACTAAACTAACCAGCTGGACAGAGCGATCTCCCACAATGACTCCAGTCAATAGACAGCAGAAGAACTCTTTTGCTTTACAACATCGACGAAATTAGCTAATTTGCCAAGGGAGTGGATCGAATTGATCGAGTGGTGGGTGGGTACAATGCCAATTATTAGGTATTGATCTTATCACGGCCATGAGCCCGTGTTATTGAGCCAATGTTGTTGCACAAAAAAATGTTATTTCGATTTTTATTCAATTCAATTAATCAAATAATAAATAAATAATAATAATTAAAGAAAAAGTTTGGTTGCTAAAAAAAAAAAAAATATATCAATTCTGACACATTATCATAACAGGTGTAAGAAACAGTACTTCACTATACTCCCAAATATTCATAAAAATACGAAATAAAGGATCAGAGATTAATTCCCACCGGGAAAACAAAGTTTCAAAACACAAACTTGATAAGAAAATTTCATTTGATTAAAACCGAGAATCAGTTAGACACCTCTCCGAATCAACTTGTTTGGTAGCTCGCTACCGAGCCTCGCAGCCATGATTATAAACTTACTGCGATTCTTTCAGCTCACCCGATTATTTCGCTTTCTAGTCCCAACCATACCTAACCTATGTAGGTATCAACTCGTCTTGTTGTATAAAAACAATAATTTTTCTCTTTGTGTGATGGCGAGTAAGTGTGTCTATGCGCACTTTTTGGAATAGGCGACGGACCGTCATTAAAGGGAGGAGAAATCAAATTGGACAGTTCGGACACTTGAACGAAGGCCAATTGGCAGTGTTAAGCGAAATACCTGTCCCTTGCCCTTGCCCCTGTCCCTGTCCCAGTTGCTGCTATGGGCCTGCGGCGGTTGATGAACTTATCCAACAGCGTTTATCCATCTATTATATTTCAGATTGGCAAACAGCCGGCACCCTACTACGTGGGATCGTCGCAGACCTTGCCCCGCGGCATGTACTCTTCAGAACGAAATAAGGTGTCGATGGGTGCGTAACGTAGTCGAACCGACTAATTGATTTCGTATTCTTTTGTTTCGTTCCTTTGAGTAGTGGACTCTTGCTTTGAGTTGACCGATCCTCCTCCACCTCCGTTTGGGTGATCCCTCCTGGCTCATTTGCCGCTCCCATCATTCCCGGGTCTCCAGAATTTTCCGGGCTTTTGTTGTGCCTTGTCTTGCTTTGTTTGGTTCAGTTCTCAGTCATGCGCATTCTCTGCTCGAGAGAAAGCCCAGTCTAAATATGATTCATGTTCCATCCATTAACCCAACACTCACATCCGAACACCAACTCTGTGTGTATCAAATCAAACCGAACCAAACCAATCTAAACAAAACCGAAAAAGGAGCGCCTGTGAAACCACTCAGATCACTCAATCCAAGGGGTAGCATGGAACCCCTGTTCCCCTACACCCCGGATCAATTATACAGCATTCCAGGTACACGAGAATTTGCCTTTCTATCCAATTATAGCTAAGATTGTACGACCGCTTCCATGTACTTACTTGTGCAATGTGAACAGTCGCTTACATTATACGCGCTTACTCGCATCTGATCATTCATTGGCTTGCGCTTGCTTTACGGAACCGCTAGAATATTAAATTCAAACTCAAATTTAATGCGATATTGACAGTTCACTATCCACACAAACGAATCGGAAAGCGTTATTTATTTTCATTTCGAATCATTCTTATGCGTTCCTTTATTGCGTTTCGTCACTCCAAAATTCAACTAACGAGTGTAATCTAGTACCGTCTGATAACCAAGTCCATAAACACTTACTACCTACCCATCCGAGTTGCACTGCTAACCGAGCCGGTTCCTTTTGTAGACGGCTACACCAGTTCTCCAGAGCGCGGCAGCCGCGGCAACTACGAGGAGCCGTACTACAGCCAGTACGGCACAAGGGGCACTGTCGTGGCCCCCATCATCGACGAGGAGCAGAGGTGAGTGCAGGGGGGCGGGGTGGATGGTTCTATGAGTAATATTTGCTAATCTGTGCCCACCACAGCGACGGAACCATGACCGAGGATCAGTACGCCTTGTACGGCATTAAGGTGGGACCGGGACTTAACCGCCTAGCGCACCGCGGCAATCAGATCTACGACCCCACTAGGTGAGCATGCTCCTCCTTCGATCCCTCGCAGCTTTCATGTAGAAGGCGTAGTCTTGCTGTAGCAGAATCCCCATAGGCGAAGCTGAGGGCAGATGCCCTGACCGTACGAAACTGCGCTTGCTGCGGCGGTATATCTTGATGCGCTTCACGCTCCCGTTGGATGAGGTGGTGGTGGCCGTAGCCACCGGGTGGAAGTAGGTGGTGCCCTTGCTCTTGATGGCCTGCACAATTAGGCAGAGCAGGTAGCCGCCAAACGAGAGAAAGGCCAAAGCTGTAATACTAATCTGAAACAGGGTTTGCAGCTTTGACGGCTTCTGCTCGACCCAAGGAGTCGCGGCCTGTGGATGCGTCGATTGCCAAGAACCACTAGAGCCAGTAGTATCGTGCTCACCCCTGAAACGGATAAGTTTTCACTGCAAGCCAGCACCTGGTCGAAAAAAGGGCTAACCGATCTGCAGCCATCAAGGCCATACGTTCTGGGAGCTGCGATCCCTCCACATCCGGACATTCCCTGGCTGGCGTTGGAGAACTGCCTGCGTCCTGGAACTCCATTCTCAGCACGGACTTCTTCAGCAACAGCAGCTCGTCCATTTGAAAGTTTGCCAGGCAGCGGGCGAACCGCGCTGGTGTGCTGGAAACTGTCGGAATTGTGTGCAAGTCGGATTCAGCATGTGTCCAGGGCCACTGGGTTTCCCAATCTAATGGAATCGTACATACCACTGCAGGTAGTCATGTTTTTGCAGCCAGCTCAGTGGTTCTTGCACTGCTCCAACTTGCGTTCGGTTGACGACTGCAAAAGCGGACTGGCATTGCGTGCCAACGCAGCTGTGGCTGATGCTGCTGAACGGAATGGAGGGTATACTGAACCAGTTCAAGAGCATCGGGGTCTGCAGCGGTAGAGTGTACTGGAGTAGCATCGCAGTTAGCATTCTTGCCTGTGCACTAGGTGTTCCGACCCGCGTTTCGACATCAGTTCCAATTCCGGTGTCTAAGCGTAAGCCCCAGCCAGTTGTATGATGCCTAGGCTGGGCTGCGCAATTGGAGCATTTCAGTGGCGGCGGATGTGTGGCCCAGTAAGCGCGGTGGAGCGACTCGAAAAAGCAAAACATTTGGAGACAAGTTTTATACTGATTTCTACTTTTTGCTTACTTGCAGGCCAGAAGACTTGCACCGCATTCGAGTGGAACACATGGAACGGCAGCTGGCCAACCTCACGGGATTGGTGCAGAAAGCCCTAGTTAACCAGAACCCCCAGATCGCTCCTCTGGCAGTGCCCACCCTGGATCCAAATTATCTGGTCGTACCAACGCAGATGCAAGGTATGTTTCTGAACCTTCTGAATTTCTGGGTTCGCTTCCGTATGTGTTGTTGTCTCGGCACTCACTTACCTTGGAGCACCTACGTTGGCCGCACCGTCTGACACTGCTTTGTAGAACTTACATTTTTGGAACATTTTAGTTGCTCGGACAAAGCTTGTTGTTAGATGCAAGTGTTCGGTTAATTAAGCCTTGCTGCTAGTTTGTCTTTTATCCTCTTATCTTATTTGTTCTCTCCTCCGCACGCTGCGCAGCCAACGGCTCCGGAGACGAACTGTACATTCGGGAGAAAGCTCCCAAGCTGGGCAAGAACTCCTGCCGTAAGTTTCGCACAGTCTCGCTTCCAAACGGCCATCACATGTATTGTCCTTGCTTGCAGAAAAATCGGTGTCCTTTGAGAAATCTGTGTCCTTTAGCGATGACATACAGGGAATACCAAAATCTCACAACCCTCTTCATACCGGTAATTATTTCACATCGGCCTTTTTACCTTAACACTCTAAATAAAATTCGACCAGAAATCCACAAGATCAGAATAAATTTATGAATAGATTGGAATAAATAAAAAATGTTAATTATCATAAACGATTATGTGTTTAATCATTATGTAGAAAACATTAACGACTTTAAATTTATTATACCCTAGTATAATAGTACTATAATATCAATCAAAAGTGTGGTAACTTCGTTCGAATTTCGTTCTGAGTCTGGGAAAGTGATGTGCCTGATTCGCTTTCTACACACAAGGCAAGCCAAGATCGTATAAAGGCATCCATTTCCCTTTCTCACCACTGCCACCCAATGCCTTCGATACGGGCATGGTTTTTACAGCTGACACGAAACCAACCAAGCCGGCAATCAAGTCGTCCACCCTACCACGCACTTCTTCACAAGGTAAGAACAGCAAAACCTGTTACGCATGCATCAACCACGTTTTCCCACCAAACGGCATTGCCTCGCTTTCCCACTACATATTCCTCCCCCTCCCTTCTCTGCCCACCACAACAGAGCGCGACCGCCTAAAGCCTCCTCCGCCGCCCAAGCCCATCGTTCTGGCTCAGACCACTCACCCCAGCTACCGGGCGGACATTGCACTGGCCCCCGAGGTGTACAACCACCTGCGCGGTCTGCAGAAGAAGGCGAAGGACCTGCGGATGGAGGTGCGCACCCTACGGCGCCTCTCCCAGGCCCAGGCGGTCGCCGTACGCGAGGACATCAAGGGCACTTTTATGCGCATTCGCGCCACGCTGCTGGCGAGCAGCGGCAGCTTCTGGGACCACCAGGGCGACCAGGACGCCACTCGAATTTCGCGCGAGGAGGAGCTCTACAAGCAGGAAGTCATCCGCCTGGAGAAGGACCTGAGTGACCTGGAGGGGTCCGTGGAGAACCTGCGGGGCGAGGTAATCAACCGGCGCACCCGCGTCAACATGACCGCTGTCGAGGACATGGCTTTGGTGCTGAGTCGGGCTAGGTAAGTGCTGAAGTTGACCAGTAGCCGACGAATGAAAGTAGCCTACTCCTTTTCAGCAAAACTGTCGCTGAACTGAAGCTTAAGTTCCCGGCCCTCTCAAACGGCCTCCGCTGCATCTTGTCCAACGAGATGGAGAAGGTGGTGCGAGAAGAAAAGTTCCTCAAAGAAGAGCCCGACCGCTTGGAGTCGGCGCTGCGCCGCTGCAAGAAGCTGACTGGCACATTAGTGACGCTCAAACGGTTTGTAGCCCCGTCGACCATCTGTGGCTGTCCATCACCAACTCCTCAGGTCCGTGCCGATGAGCTTATCCTCTCCTTTTGCTTCCACAGCTTAGCCAGTGTGCAGGAGCAACGGCTACCGCCCAACGAGCCAACTATTAGTGAGGAGCCACCGCGGTCCGCGGACATCTCGGCACCCGACAAGGTGAGTGCGAAGCACCCAAGGTTTAGGGTGAGACAGAGATCGTGCTGCTGCGACAGTTACACAGAGCTAGTTCAAATCCAAATCGAAGAAAGCGTTATGAGGCCCGGCCACAGCTCCATGTCCATATACTTATATACATATTATTCTGCTACATAACGTATCATGACTATCTATACATATGTATAAAAGTATTGTTTTCACTTTTTTTATCGCAGAGATTAGTTGCTTTTGTCCTACCATATATCGAGTTTGCTATGCTTTCATTTCGAATCCACCTCACCGGATCAGATCTGATCCTGTCTCTAGACTCGTAGCTTTCACCCGAATATCCGAACCTGCGATGTTTCCGAGCAAGCAATATCGCATAGGTGCTGCAAATTCCCGCCTTTCCAGCGGTCCTTCCGTCTTTCCTCTTTCGCTTATCCGGGAAAAGCGAATTTCTGGTTATATGAGGAGCAGAGTCGAATGAAGCTTATCCAACTCTTTACCTCGAGTTCTGGCGGTGATTTAACATTTAAATTGGGTACTGTGCTTAGTTTGAATACGAACCCTCTTAGTTGTATAAACATAAATAACCTTGATTACTTTACACTTATTCGTTTGTAGTCTTTGGTTTATCTTTTGTGCGATTATCTTATAAATAAGTTGCAATTGGCTGTTGTTACAAAAATAGTGTTTTGGTTCATCGCTCATTTCACACAAATTATTCAACCATTCAACTAATTCATTCAGAGAAAATAACCGTATCAAAATTTTATTACGTACAATTTGAATCGAATGGGATCGCGTGAAGTCCAATCAAACTGGCACAAGTTGAGATAGCGCCCCACTTAGCACCGCAAAACACCGTGAAGCTTCACCGATCCAGCCACCGACCCGGACCCCGCCCTTTTAGTCTTTGCCTTTGCCCTTGTCCCTTACCCATACTACTGGCCTCTGCCCCTTATCCCTCAAGCTGATTGTTCTGAGCTTGCTTTGTTGGGTCTTAGATATTTAAACACACAACTAACTACCAAATTCCACACGTACAATTACAGATACTTTTAAGGTATCCTGTTCCATCATCACATGCTAAGAACCAAAAAATGAAAACAATTAAACAGAACACAACAGTTAATTTATAAAGCTAACGTCTTATAAAATGAGGTTTACCTTCGTTTTCTCTCTTTCGCCTTTTCTCAAACATTTTGAATATCGTTTACAACAACAACTACAACCCACATAGTTTAACTGGCGATGGAGTTCAAACTTCAAAGAGGCAATTACTGAGTAATGACTGAAAATCAAAATATAAAAGAACATTACAAAAACAAACTCAAAAAATCTAAAACAAAACAAAATCTAATTAAAAAGCAAAAAAACCTTATCGAAAAAGAAGAAATCATAAAACTAAGTCAATTTTCTTTTTGCCAAACATAATTTGCTCTGCATTAAACATAATAGTTTATATTTTTATACTATTTACTACTGCTATAAACTTCTAACTAAACTAATACTCGTACTAAACTCGAAACCCATGTCAAACCTCATCAAAGCTGTCCATAAGCCACGAAAAAAACACTTCTAATAACCGCAACCCTTTTAACTAACCAAACAAATGCAACATATCCATGTTCGTATGTACATATGTATTAATAAAAGCCCATTTGAATGACTGTCATTTAAAACACCGTTCCACGGGTTACATCTCATCCCTGCTATATAAAATACCACATGCGATCCGGTTGCGCATTTATTTCAAACGCCAGTTCTCTCGCGTAACCACGTCTTCTAATCAGGAGCTTTTCCTGGACCGTCCTTTAACAACTTTCTGGGCGCAGTCATAAGCATTTCCTGAGTGGGTCAAAAATGTGGGAAAGAAACTTTGAATTCATTGATTTTTATTGATTTTTTTGTATTTGCTTTCCGATTGAAACAAATTTCGTGTGTTATGAATCACCCGTTTGTTATTTTTCAGACAGTTGAACCTGAGTCAGGGCAATATTAAAAAAATAAATAGCGTTAATTTTGAGAACTTTATCCGGTGGGATAGACATACATACATCCGGTAGCGCTAACAAAATACATCCGCACCTATAAGTGCAAGAAGGCTTATTTTCATTGATTTTGTTCCACTCCTACATCCTTCCTGTTTCCGTGCCACCCCCCTGTATCCGTTATCGTAAACGGAGTTTTGTTTTCAGTGTTCGCTGCTTTGCAAGTCTTCCGTTGGTGTTTGTTCTTTGTTCTACATGTTGTTCTGTCTTTGTCTCCTTCTACAAAATGTGTACATTACTCCTCGGTAAGCTCGCATCAAAAGTGATTCTTGGGATCTTATTCCGTTTAAATTTCCTTCAGATTATGTTCAGGCGCGGTCCGTGACTTGTCTTAGTACACCTACACACGTGAAAACCGGGGAACAAATTATTTGACCAATCTCTTGGTTGGAGATAATTAAGCAAACCAGGAATAAATTAAACACGCACATCCACAGAAACAGAAACGGATACAGTGGCCAATATACAGAGATGCAGAATTAAAGTTATAATACAGATTTTTAGTGAACGTTCCTGGTTTCATTTTATTAAGTGTTTCTATTTATTATAATCATACAGACACTTCCCGCTGAAAAAATAACTCACCAGTTAATCGCGTTCTACCCGAATCTTTTTTAACTTTTAATTGATATTTTGTAGTTGCGAACGACGCATATTTGTGTATATATACAAATATACAAATTAGAGAATATGTATGTATATGTACCCTTGTTTATGTACGTACACACCAGCCACTTCCCCCCAAGTCCCTTAAACCAAACACACCGATCCCCGAAATCATAATTACTCATAGTACCTAATAATTAATCTTAAGCAGACAATCGAAGGGCCAGTTGTATTGCAGTCAATAAAGAATGCAAACTGTCACCACTGTTCAGTCACTGTTCTCACTCATCGATTGTTGTCTTTGAAGTTTCAACAATATATCAACCCATCAGCCCCACATCAATCACATGCGTAACTCCGAAAGTGTGTTTCCCCATTATCATCAGATTTAATTACCAATTTAGTAATCAGAGCCTTTTATCTTGTCCGCTCTATACACATCAGAACAATCCCTGCTGGGAGCGAGATAATATTATACTTCAAGCTATAGTCATAAGAGAAGCTATCGTACTAGAGATTTAGTGCTGGTAAAGTCCTGCACCCGAGGGATGCGCGTGGTCTAAAGTTCATACATGGAAACTTAGATTAATACCTTATAGAAAGACGTTTGTCCCGACATTCAGAATACAAAAATCGGTGAAGACTTCCTTAAAATCCATGAATGCGTCTCAAATGGTTTTCGATTTTTTTTAGTTTAGAGTTTCTGTAGTACAAGAACCTCACCAACCCACCCATCTGGAATCTGCCGTCATCTGTCGCATCCGTATCTTCCCTTTTTCAAACGCCGCCTTTAAAGCTATTCGTTCTTTTTACCACATAATCGTACACATGCCTACCGTACTTTGCCTTAGATATATCGTTTATCATCATACCGTACCACCATTCCACCTTTGTAGACCGTTTACCTTTGCTTGCTGCCTGCTTGCTATGTTTGCTTAGCTCCTGTGAATATTCATTAGTTTTATGTGCTGTGACATATGGCGATCAATCATGTAATTTACTCGTAAGCTCATATATGTGTTCGTACGTGTTTGATACAAACTTTGCTGCAAGTCGGCTTTTTTTTTCACAGCATGATCCTTTGCAACTGCACCTTTTTTCGATCGCCAAGGCGGTTGGTTTGTTTAAGCTATCTATATATTTTGCTGGGTTACTTGCGTATTAGATGTTTATGTGTAATAATCAAATAACTTGCGAGCATATACGTATGTCCCGTTTGAGTACCTTATTACCGAATGTATAAATGTGAGATGTTATCCGACTATTAACTATATATATATATATCATGTATCTTGGCTTCGCCTCGCGGGAGCTGCATTAGAACTTGTGTTTTACCGACAAATTGTGTGTTCTTGTAGCCAATCGCAACACCCAGGATGGGGTCGTTCGCTCTCAGCGGGGGACTCGCACCCGAAAACGCACTCGATGCTCTGCTAGATGAGCTCAAGACATTCTCCAAGCCCATTGCCCAACAACAGCAGCAGCAGCAACAACAGCAGCCACACCAGCAACTATACGAGGTAAGTGTGCACACCCGGCCCGCCATCCCCAGCCGAACTCAAGGGGTCCAAGTCTTCTCCTGCAGATTCGGCCCGAAGATTCGGCATCCGATGAGAGCGCACAGGCCGCAGTACAAAGCACCGTCACCACGCAAATATCGCAGGCCCGTCTGTACACGGAGGCGAGCGTCAACATGCAGCAGGCGATCACCGGCAGCATGGTCATCGCTGTCGCCTCGGGCAGCGTGCCAGCTCAAGCCCTGCGCGGCGTGCTAACCCACCAGCACTCACAGTCGCAGCAGTCCTATCAGTCTCAGTCTCAGCCTCAGCCTCAGCCGCAGCTGATGGTGCACACCAACATGGGCAGCCTGCGTCGCCTGCACTCTTACCCCAGCGAGTCGGACTCCGAGCTGCCTGGGCCGCCGACTGGTTCGCGGGCCAGCGAGATGGTCCTGGCCAACGGTGGCGGCAGCAGCAGCAAGCCTCCCGTGCCCGAGCGAAACGCTGAACTGATCACCAAGGTGGGCCACAAGCGCATACCGCCACCTCCGCCGCCACGCACCAGCTCACGTAGTCCACTGGCCAGTCCAACCAGCCCAAACATGCCACAGAACCTAGCTGCCGCAGCCACAACCACAGCCACAATCAATGTCAATGTCAACGTCAATTCGAATGAAAATACCACTGGAAACAGCGTGATGGCTGACCCCGTCGTGGCTAGCGGCGACACCTCCAGTGGGGACAACTCGAGCGGCAACGAGTCGGGCAACGACCACGTCCAGCGTCAGGTGGCCCTCGAGATGCGCCACCAGGAGCTGCTCAAGAAGCAGAAGCTGCTGCAGGAGCAGTACCAACGCCTGCAGCAGATGAGCAAGCTTCCGTCGGTGGACGTTCCGCAGACACAAGACATGGCCGGTGGCAGCAACACGCTTCGCAAGCTGGGTAGCGAGACCAACATCCAGCAGAAGATTGCAGCATTAAGTCTAGCTTGTGAGGCTAGTGGAGCCGCAGCTGCGGCGGCGGCGGCTGCTGCGGCTACCAATGGTGTGTTGGTCAGTGATGCTACGAGCGGTGCGGTCGGCGGCGCGCTGGGTGGTGGTGCAGCTGCAGGGGCGGCTGGTGCGGGCGCTGCTGCTGTTCACTCGAATCTGAATTTGAACTCCCAACACCAGACAGCCCCGACAACCACCAAACAGCTGTACGAGACCGAGATACTCTAACACAACTGGAAATTGGCGTGGAACGAAGCTAAAATTGACATTTAATTGGAGCGGTCAGGCATCTGACATTAAAATGAAAGCTTAGGCAAGTCTAGCCGAAGTCCTTTATCACCACCCCTATTATTAGCGTGAATTACGACTTCGATAAGGAAAAAACGTTAAAACTTACAGCCCCTGGTCGCTCCCACCCAGACATTATCAACGCTGACAAAACCGTACAGAACCGATATGAATGTATATTTACAACGAGTACCATTTCGTGTGTCCGGGTGGGCAGAGGATCACAACATACTTGTATTTACTATCATATATTTGTCGTACATAAATGTGTATTTGCACAACTCCAGCATCCGATGTTCGTTAGGTGTTGTCTCTAAAAACGCAATGCAAATGATCGGAAACAAAATGAAAACAATTATAGAATCGAATCACAAATCAAAAACCGTTCATATGTGTAACACGTAATCACCATTTGTGCACACCCATAACAAGTGGGCATCGCCCCATAAAGCAGATGAATGTATTTATGTATTCGCTAACATTGATGTACTTGTTGCATGTTGTATTTTTGTTGTTGTTTCAATGAAGTTGCACATAGGTCAAGAGCAGGAGGGGAAGCGATTAAAGCCCACAAATATTGCACAACACTACGACGTAGTCGAAGATTGAGAAGACTACACAATGTTTCCCAGCACGAACACCCCCAGCACTAAGGCTCGATGTATCCATCTGAGTAGATGTGTCAATGCCCAAGCAGCACCCCTAGTCCAAGGTCTAGGACCCAGGACCTGGCAACTCCACAGCCACACGTAGAACAAACATTTCTCAGCATAGCCAAGCACAACGACACTAGGAACACGAACCGATTTACGATTAACTATTATGCATATGTACAGATCTACGTATATGCTGAAAATATGTCATAGATTTGTATTATTACCTTGGTATGGGACGTGAGACTGATAGTTCTATATATGTAGCTCACAATATATACATATACAATATGAAATGCGAAAACAAAGATATTGTACTTATTTTTGTTAAAAAGGTGATTAGCTAATTGTATTCCCCCACAAAAACACACAAGCATTCCCTCCTACTCGAAGGAGAGGCTCGTTATTCTTAATAGAAATTTCGGACAGTGTTCGAGACTTTTCGGACTACCGAAGGCAGTATTACCTACACGGAGCACCTATCAAATGGGTAAACGAAATGCGATTGCGCGGCTACGTGCATGCATATTTAGCCATATGCATTTAACGCTACATACGACATCGAAAGATGGGCGGCTAGGAACGCCCCCCCAAAACCATATCCATGGGTAGGTCACGGGCATTGCCTAAAGGCTCAGCGACATACGGACTCGGACGGATAGACAAAGCTCCCCGGGAACGTAATGGGTTTATTTTCCTCCCAACCCATTTCGATCGTGATGAGGCGTCCGGGAATTTCGTAGTCAAGAGCTCTTGACTGCATTTGTTTTTAGCAAATCCAAAGTTATCCGAAAATCGTACACCAGCATCCCTACCATGTAAGCATGTACATATATTCCGATGTTTGGAAGAAATAATGAAATAATGTGGATAGACAACTTGCACACCAATGCACAGATATAGATTTGTTAATTTTACTGCTCGGCCAGCATTACACTTGAGTATTAATGGTTAATTTACTTTTAAATTTAAATTAACACACGAACTTAAACAATTAAACACAAAAACTCATTCCTTAAATTGTTCAAGTCTCGAAGTCTGAATGGGGACTAAAGTTCAGTTCGCTGATCCTGATCGATGTGGGAACGAAGCGAACGTTGAGCGTTTTAACTTAAGATCTAACACCACACCACACATAAAAAGTTACAATAAACATTTTGGAGTATATGTATCTCTGCTACTCATATATGTATAAATGCAGAGTTCTATTATATGCATATCCAATAGCTTAAATACAACCACAGAAGGTCACCTTCTCAAGGCTTCTGCTGATCGTAATTTATAGCCTAACACGGTTAGCCGTATTATTTATAAGGAGGCCCAGTTTTAATGCCCAAGAGTCCTGGCCGGTGCAATAGACTTGAATTTAAGACTAAAATTCGAAACACTTAAACCCCTAGGTGCGCGCTCAATACATAACATATACACAGAAACAAATATTTAATATTAAGTTAGTAGATTTGTATTATTTATTTAGTGCCATTCGACGTATATGTACAACATATATTTACATGCTAATTCACGCAACGAATACACATTTAAATAAACATATTACATGCAAACGATGATAACAATGCGAACTCAAGATATTTAAGTATAAAGATAAATAAGCAGACGTGTCGAAATCAATGGCACCCTACAAATAATTATATTCCTTACATGGCATACCACACTCACACTTTTCACAGACACATTCAGACGCACACGTCCCACTCTCCTACACCTACACAGATATTTAGTATCGCTAACAGGTGGATACGATCCAAAATCCCTGCCCGACTGGGAGAAGGGAGTTGTAAAATGCAAAACTCTTAATGAAGCTGCATTAAAAGAGTTAAAAGTGCATATTTTTTTCTTAATAATAATTACTCTATTTAAATTACAACAATCCACAACAATAAATATCATTCGTAAAATGAACTCTTAACATGACTTTTTCTAATGGTTTAAACGTTCCCTGCTGTTTTTACTTACATCTGCTAAATAATGGCCCTAATCGATATGCTGTGATTGTTCTGATCAACGTTACTCTGTTTATATTTCCAGATGCTGCCACTTCATTTCAGCAAGTACAAGTACATGCATACAGTTCTTAATGCTAGTAGACTGTAAACAACAAAATCTTTCGCATTTATATGTAAAAGGCACAAATTTTGCAGACGGATATATAAATCACGTATCAAAATACGTCCTGTCATGTGATGAGTCACAGTCAAAGTTATTTAAGTTGCCGAATTAAAACTTAGACTCTTTTTGTCTGTTTGCCAACTCAACTTCCTTTTTATCTGAATATATCCCCGCCTCGACAAGTTTGTACTCTACGATTCGCATAGCCAGTCACAAGGCAATTTGGGCATTTTGCTAGCTGGCCATGGCAAATAGCCAGCTGTCTTAAAAACCCAATAGTCGTAGGACACCTTCGCAATTAGAGCCAGCAGCAGGATGACCTCGGCGGCAATTAAATAATAGATGTAGTCGGTCCAGTCGGGAGGTGATTGACACAGCTTGGTCTCCTGCAGTTCAATGACACTCAGGGGAATGTTGCGACACCGTATGTCCATATAGTCGGGTATATCCGAGCTGCGCTCTTTCAGCCAGTTTTGCAGCGTCTTGGCCGAATTGCAGTCGCACTGGAGCTTGTTGCCCGCCAGGTAGATACGACGACCCAGACCCGAATCCATCAGGGCATTGTTAAGGAAATACTCGGGAATCTATATTTGGCGGCACTCTTCATTTTTGTGTTCCGCTCAGAAATGGGTTCTGCGCACTCACCTTGCTTAGCGAATTGTTCCGCATGTAGATGCGTTGGAAGGTTTCGATGAACTTGGTGCCCTCGAACTCAAGGATGGAGGATATCTGGTTGTTGTCGGCCACGAATCGGTTGATGTTGTGGTAGGTAGGATTTGTTTGGAAGTAATCGCCCAGTCTGGTTATCTTATTGTTCGTGATATTAAGCATAAATGTGTTGTCTGGCAGCCTTTGCGGTAGTTCCACCAGGCCAAGGTTGGAGCAGTCGACATGGCACTGGGGCTTTGACTGGTTATCCTGTATGATCATTATGTTCTCCAGGGTGCACTTGCAGTTACCGTAGTTCGGAATTACCGGGCAATTTGTCAGACACCGCTTTCTGTTCTCCAGCTGCTCCACGGACACTTTGTCTGTGGACTGGAACCAGGTGCGGGTGGCGTTGTACTGGCAGTAGGAGTGCTCGGGGTTCAGAAAGTTGATAGATTCGTTGTATATGATTTCGTTGAGTGGGGTACACAACATACGCATGTTGCCACTGAAAGCAGTCGTTGGGTTAAGCTGTTTTCTCATTGTCTTTATATTAGCCATCGGCCTCACCTGATGTCCAGCGTAATGTTTTTGTTCTGGTTCCGGTGGGGCACCAGTGAAAGATTATTGTGCGACATGCCGAAGAACTCCAGATGCGGGACGTCCTTGACCGCCCGCGAATGGATCTCCGAAATGTTGTTGTTCGATATGTTTAGGCACTTGAGGGCCGAGTGTCGCGGAAAGGCGTTTACCAGGCGCGTAATATTTCCGTCTGTGACGGCGAGCGACTGCAGTGATCGGAAAATGGGGTTGGACAGGTCCACGTCCTTCACAGTCATGTTGCGCACGTGCAGGTTGGTCCACTTCGATATGTTGCTGCAGCTCGAGATCATCGTTACCTGCGATATGTTGCAGCAGTACCACGAGTTGGTCCTAACCGGGTGCTCCCTGCACTGACAATTATTGCCCTGCGCCCCTGCGTTTTGGGATTGGGAATCCGACTGCGGCATTGAAGCGGTCTGGCCATCGGGCGATTCGGCTCGTCCGTCGAAGGAGTTGCCACACAGCTGCTCTTCGGCATGGAAGCAGTGCTTCAGATACTTCGGCTGTTCAGGTGCAGCCGGCGGAAGAGTGGCGGCCGAAGTGGTCGAGGTGGAGGAGGACGTGGACTCAACTGTTGTTACGACGGCTGGCGCCTGAGTGGTTTCTGTCACAGCTCCTGAATTGGATGTAACCGCCATGGCTATTTCAGCTAAGGTCACATTATCGGGTGTCAAGGTACGAGCCGGTTTGGATGTCCATTGCTCACCTTCCTCCAGCTCGCCTTCCTCCATGGTATGCGTCAATGAGGAGGATTGCTCGCTGAGTGGAGGGTCCTGTGATGTTTCTGGCCGCGCGCATGCGCCTGCTAAAAGAAGCAGTATAAGCAGCCACGAGCCCTGTAACGACAATCAAATGGCACATTAGTGGGAACTGAGTAGGGTAAAGTACAAAGTCAGATGTTGGACATATGCAAATATTTGCCAGACGCGTTTATTTGCTATTCGAATTAGCCTCGGCAGCCCGACAAGGGCTTGGCGCGTCCTCTGGTCGCCGCAATTAGGGTAAGTGAGGCGCACCCTGCAATTGCTGGGCCCACTTTGTTTGGCACCCTGCGGCTTAGCTTATGATGACACCGCTCCGCTAATTCGGCAATTAATTAACGAATCGTATCGGCCGTATGTGATAAAAGGCCAATAAAAAGATTAATTGTGTTAGGAAGCTATTGTGGGTGGGCAATTTGGCAGTTTCGTTGGTTGATGTTGGTGGAACTTAAAGGTATGGCTTCTCAGTAAACATATGAGGTTTTAAATGTATGTCAACAGCTAGCTAACTCTATAAACAGCTACAAAAAAGTATACTCTTAAACAGTGGCTGGCGAAAACTAAGATAACAAGGGTGTTTTCCAAATTCCAACAACATTCTTATTATCCGTTATATCCTTTAAATAGCATTCGTCTACCGAAAGGATTCTGATGATAATTGACACAGTTTTAAGTATTCAATAAGAACAAGAATAGTATAATTAACCGAACACTACTACGCACTCCACCCACTGATATAATAGATACGCAGGAATTAGTAATGTACATGAATGCAATATCTGTCTGCCCCCACTCACACTGAACTGCATGCGCGTTCGACTTTGGTGGGTGTAGGCGAACATCGCCTCCGGAATACAATTCCGCTGGACTTCCGGGTACGGCTGCTGGCTAGTTTACTCCTAGATGAGGTTGCAGAGGAAGCAACTGGACATCCGAGGAATCACTTTTCCGTGCCCACAACTTAAATGATTTGCGCACATCCCACTCCCAGCACATACATAGGAGTTGTCTGTCGGCGGATTCACGGGCTTGGTCGTCCTCCCAAGTGATCTCCCACCAATGTGTAAAATATTTAAAACACTAAATAAATGTGTACAAAATGTACTCAATTTGTTAAAGTATGAAATGAACAAAAAAAAGGGAACTGTTAGGCGTAGCAGAGGACTGTTAAATGGCTGGCCTCCGCGACCTATCGATTCATCGATACAACAACTTGGGAAACGATGTATAAAATAAGATGTGTCCAAAAACGAAATCCATATTTTGCAGTCGATAGTGCCATCGACTTTTGTGCAGCTCTAATTTGACGCTATGCGATCCGCTCTGCTCGACTCAAAGATTTTTGTATTTTTGTCGCCGTTCCGTTGCCGTAGCGCAGACGCTATTGTTTATATTGTGAAGTTACTTACAAGTTTGAAAGTCTGAAACCAATCGGTTAAAACCTGGATCGACCTTGATCGGGGGCACGTAATCGAACCGATCGCATACGCATACGGAACAAAGTCTAAACAGGAAGCACGAGCATTGCGAAATTCGGGCAAAACCACGTAGCCGAAAGATGCCCATTGATACGAGGGAGCTAATGGAGGCGATAGCCATCGTGGCGGACGAGCGCAACGTGCGCGTCACCGTGAAACAGTCAGGCAAAGGAGCAGCCATCTGCGCCGCCTGCTCATTCGCGGGCGGAATGCTCCTGGGTCCCGTGGGACTGGCAGTGGGCGGGGCCGCCGGAGGCATCGCCGCCTACAAGATGACTAGCGGTAAGCTGAGGGCACTTGACTTGGAGGTCCCAATTTCATCAACCCCATCGTTCACGAGCATTGACCAATACTTTTTTTTTCCCACAGGCTCTTTCAGACCACTTGGTGAAGTCATCCTGAACGACCTGACGGACGCACAGCGCGAGCAGCTGGTGCAGCACGTGTCCAAGGCCGTGGCTGACATACATCCCACCGACGTGGTTATGCTCCTGCCGCTAATTGTCCAGAACGCCTCCATCCAGCAGGCAGTGCTCAACACGGTCATGTCCTTTGTGACTAACGAGTTGCGTATGCAGATTGTCGATTGACCTGCCGCGCGGAACAGTAGGCGATGGCCAGGTAATTGTAAAATTCGGGGCGCGATCTTAGTCGAAACCTTTGTGATCTGTGTAGGTTTATTAATAAATACTCTATATGTACATAAATATTTGGATAGTCCGAAAACGTGTGGGCACTACTCCCACTCGACATTAACTTGCTCCCAGTCGTCGACGAATGGTTGGTCGATAGTCTCGATTAGGAGGCCGCAGAACAGGCAGTCCGCCGCCAGGATGTCCTCGATCTCGGTCTTTAGTGCTGCTCGATTACGTTGCATCTCGATTGCCTGTTGTTTGCCCAAAGCGCTAGGCTGCGCCTGCACCTCAAGTTGCTGTTTCAGGGTGGTGAGGCGCCGACCCTGCTCCTTGGTCAGCATGGGAAAGACTTGCTTCTCCAAGCAGTCACTGTGGAACTTGTGTCCGCAGATGAACGCGAAAAATGGCTTTACCAACAGCATCATCTCACAGATGCCGCACGTGTCCTGCGCGTTCATGGTAATGCTGTGTTGGCGCAGATGCTGCAACTCGGCGCCGACGCGATCGGACTGATCCTGGGTCTCGGCCATTTCGCGCTGCAGCTCCTGAATGCGATGATTGTAATCCTATTCAGGAATGGATCTGTTTGAAAATGGGACAACCCACATTTTAGCCTTCCGCTTACCCTTAAGGCATCGCAGATCGCCTCTTTGAAGTTGTCAATCTTCTCAAAGTCGGAAAAGAATGGCAGTAGGTCCTCGATGCGCAGAAGATCACACTCCTTGAGCAGATTCAGCGCCGTCTTGACATCGTTCGTTCCCTTTATATCGTGGTATGCTGAAAGAAAATTAGGAGCATTAAATTGATGCCTGTGTTTGAGAAATGACCCTGCACTCAATCAAAATACCTATGCGAAGCCAGAGCTTGCGGCGCATCTTGCTGTCCGACGGCCTTGAGGCAGTCTCCTTTGCCAGCTTCATGTCGAACTTTAGTGCCAGATCCACTGCGGAGACCCATTTGCGAAGCATGCACTCTAGGAACACGCAGGCCTCAGTCACGTTTAGGTCGGTGCATACTTTTAGGGCGTAATGGATGTCGTAGTGCACGAGGCTCTCGTCACGGCCCTGGATTTCAAGGTACTTCATTAGCAGCTTGGGCTCGTGCTCCGCGTACAAGTGCAGCAGGAAGTTGTGGATTGCATCATTCGTTGTGTTAAGCTTGTATATGGCAAACTCGAGGTATCGCTGCGTTTGCTCCCGCTGCTCTCGAGTTTCCATGATGATTAGCGTGGACACCAACTTCTCCACCTCCAGTCGGGGGCCTTGGGCAATTAGGGCGTCAACTGTGGGCTTCGGCAGCTTCACCATCAGCTCAGGCGCGTACTTGTAGAAAAGTTCCGGATTGCGCTGAGTGTTTAATGTTTGCAGTGCTTCGGCAAAGCACTCGGCCTTCAGCTGTTGCCCCACCACTTCCTCATAGTCTCCGATGGCGATTGCGAACTGTGCCATGTTGTGGGGATCCGCGTGCTCGGCGATCAGCTGCTGCACGGCCTTGCGATTTAGCCGCGTACAGTTAAGCACAGGTGCCTCCACCATGAATTCGTCGTACTCCGTCTGCCACGCCCTGCGCCACTCCTCACTGTGGTCGGGCATGTTGATCTGGATGAGGTAAAGGTCGATGAGCCAAATGACCAGAGCCTTAATGGCGTTCGTTTTATCCTCGTCCATCTCCTCTTTTTCCACTGGCTTGGTGGTTAGTCGGCTAAGGCGTTTCTTAACGTAGTTGATGATAGGTCTCTTGTCCGGTAGCACCATGAACTTTAAGCACACCTCTTCGAAGGACTTCTCCGTCTCCGCGTAGTAGTCAGCTGCCACTTGGTAGGATCCGTCCGTGAAGGCGGCATCCGCCCGCTGGCCGAGCACGATCTGCAAGTGCTGGGGGTCCTCTGCTGCATGAGCCGTGGCCAACTCGTACTGACCCTTATCAAGATATATGCGCCATACGTTTCGCTCCTCGCGTGTCACCCTGAGGATGAACACGTTCTTCACGGTGTAAACGTATATGGCGCCGCTGAGTTCGTCCCGTTCGATGTTCAGCGGTTTGCCCACCCGGGCCTCGTCGAAGGTTTCATGGTAGACCTGCTCCTGGTTCAGCAGGCAGATGGCCCGTATGTGGTCTGCGTACAGCAGTACGGCGTGGTACTCCGTCAGTACAAACGCTTTGGGAATGTTTAGACGCCGCTCCTCGTACGACAGGTGCATGGCCCTATCAAAATCCAGGTTGATCAGCGTGCTACCTATCAGGGTGGCCGAGCTGTTGCCTTCGATTGAGAACTGAAACCCCGAGGTGTTAACGGACTGATGTTGTCTTCTGGAACAACTACTTACCTCGCCCACACGGATGCCCTCTCCACAAAGCCAAGCCCACTGCTTTGGATACTTGCTGTTGGGCGGCGCAAATAATCGCAACTGCGAGTAGTTTAGGTCGGTTTTGCGCTCCTCGCAGTGCGGCTCCTGCACACCGCTCACGTAGCCTGCGAATATTGGCTGCAGGGAGCGCTCCTCTGTCTTCAGCGTCTCCTGGAATGTGTAGATGCACTCTGGACTGGTGACCACGATTATGTACCGGCTGCTGTTGGGCACCCGCAGCAACTTGAGGCCCGTAATGGGGTATTTTGAACGTCCCAAGCCCAGGTCATAGAGCTGCTTGCGTTGGACGTGGCCGTCGGAGGCGGGACTTAGTTCCGTCTCGAAGATGAGGCCGCGACTAGTGCCGAGCAGAATGGAGCCCGTGGTCGTCTCATTGCCATGGTACGGATTAAATGCTACGGCCGTGATCTCGTGGTCCTTGAACTTCTCTATTCGCCGCACCTTTAGCTGTTGCGCCTGGGTAGACTCAAGGCAGTGTATATACAGGAAGTCCGGTGAAACGCCGGCCGAAGCAGACTTTGGCACCAGCGCGATGATGAGGTGGTGGCCGGTGGGGTCCAGGAATATTCGGGTTATCTTGTAGCCAGACCCCGAGAGGTACTTCTCCAGTGTTGCTTCTACCAGGACAATAATACCATTAGGAATAGCTGGATTAAAATGACCAGGTGAGTTCACTTACCCCCAGGCGGGATCGCGCGCGGCAGGAAGAAACGACACAAAGTCGTCCGCTCCGCTGTGCCCAGCAGACAGACAAGCCAGTTCCGCGAGACGGCAAGGTGCATCAAGTCTCCGGTGCAGTTGCTGGGTATACGGAGCACCATCTTGTGCCTGCTAAAGATCTCCTCTTCGTCCGTCTCAAAGGGATTGCCGGAGGCGGTGGCTACGTAGGAGTGAGCAGCACCCGTGCCGTTACGCTCGATGCGGGGCAAGAACTTGGGCTGATTGGGCATTGCCTGGGCCATACTTTTTTGCGATGTTTACTTCCCGATACCCAATAAAATAATAATACGCCCACAGCAAAAGTGATGGCACTTGGAATATCTATGATTCGATGACCACTCAGCGAAGGAGCTATCGGAGGGCAGTAGCTGGTAGAGATGGACGCGATAGGCAGCAGCGTTTCGCCAATCGAAATTTAAACTTATAATCGTTACAAATTTAAATGCAATTGGTATTTTGGCGGCGAGGGTGATTCCAAGAAACCCTGAATCGTGCACATGTACATGAGACCCAAAAAGCAGTGAAATACGATTCGTATATTTTTTTGTTTAGTTTTTATTAATAATTTGTGTTTGCTTTGTATACATGTAATTATATTATTTATTTATATATATTTATGTTGAATGCGTGCTTTCCTGCCGTTGTTAAACATGTTTCAAATGGGGCAGAATACTTCAGCATGCAAAATGCCATCCGTTTTGTTAAACATCTTTCACACTCCTGACTCGATTTATATTTGTATTTTTCAATTTGAAGTACTTTTGTTTTCTGCTTTGCTTCAAAAAGTCTGTGCTGCGGCACAACGTCAGCTTGCTTCATAACAATGCGCTCAGGGGGGTGTTGTTTGATTTTCAATAGGGTTAGTAATAAAAATGTACAATTTGTTTGTATACATGTATGTTTGTATGCATGAAATTAGTTTCTTGTTATTTGTGCAATTTATTTACTAATGTGTAATTTTTGCTTCATTTTTTGATAATAAATCATCTTCTGTCTCCTTTCCTATTTTTTTTTTTTAATAAATTCGGACTTTAAAAGTGTTCGAAAATTCAGATATATTATGTCTAATAATCCTAAAAAAAAATATTTATATTAGTTAAATTTTTTTTTTTCAGGATTCCTTCAAGTACAACTAATCTGCATATAATGTGCGTGGATTTGTATCGCTGGGGGATGTGTTTGCATGTAAGTGTACCTAAATCTGCATCTCAATCCAAATTTCTGTTGGGGTCACCTTGGCTGCCGAGGGCGCCGTGCCTTAGTAAAATATGCATGTGAGTATGTATAGCCGAAAGTATGGAAAAATGCAATCGCATATACAGTATTTGACTATTAGATAAAATCCAAAAAGTTCGTGTTTCTAGTCTGATTCACATTCTTTTATTTTTGTTTTGGTTTGCTTGCAATTCAGCTTAATCATCGTTATCGCTTACTTGGCGCTATACAATTAATTTTTAAAATTTAAATTTTGTAGTTAATCACAGATTTTTGTTTTAAATACCGAAAAGTTAAATTAATAAACAGCGTAGTTCCGAAATGTATTTGGCTTTGTCCATATAAATATATGCATATAAACCTGTTAACATACATGCATATGTATTTCATATAATATAGTACATAATTTCGACTAATAATTTTCAATTATCTAATTGTTTACCGATTTAAGTTTTGTGTTCGAATTTGTAAGAATTTTTTTTCTTATCGAAGTATTGGATGCTTGTGATATGCGTTGCATTTTTTTTGCATTAATTTTTCTCTTGTCGATCATAAAAATTTTGCTCACACATACATGTACAAGGTACTTGTGTGGGTTGTGTGTGTGGTTTCTCTTGCATGAAAGAGTGACAGATAACAACAGATAGATAGATATTTAGATAGAAATTCAGTGACTGTCAAACGTCTCTGATACCTTAACCTTAATGCATTTGAGTGTAGTTTTGCTTCTGGTGGGGTAAGTGCGTCAAATATTGGTATACATATACGTTTTTATTTCTAAGATATCTTTATACGAATTTTAGAGCTATAAACTACATTAATATGATTCAAAATCTTCTTATTAATGGTACGAAAATATTCGTCTCCTTCAGTTTATTTTGGCCATGCTATTTCCTCATCATTGGTAATTCTTCTGGTTGATTACTGGTCGACTGCGGATAGGGGTTTCAGGTCGGGGTACGTGCGAAATAAATGGGTCTTACAATAAGTTCCCTGTGCATTGGTTAGCTTTCCTGAGTTTTTTCCGATGTATCCATTCGTGGAGGTCAAACAAAAGGCTTTACAACTTTTTAATTAATTTTTAGTAGTACCAAATAAAGCATGTTTATCGTTTGGGCCGAGAAAAATATATTTTGCTGTTTTTTCTTAAAATTATTTGTTTATTGTTTAACATATGCCAAAAAGTATAATTTTGAATAGGCTTAACTGGATATAGATACATAAACAATACGTGTATAAAGAAGGTGCACAAAAAATAATACAAAAGTTCGCATTCACAGTTTCGTAGAGTATCTAAACATAAATTTTGAAAGACAGATTTAATGTCTCGTTTGAGGTAACAAATTTAAAAAATATTAACAGCCAAAATAGAATTTTGAACAAACAAAGAAAATTAAAATTTTCATTTGTCAAAGATTTTTAAGATCACAGTTTGTTTTGCATTTGCATTATTTTTCGTTTTTGTCACTGATTTTCTTTTTGTATTCGTTTCAATAAAAAAAAGTAATAAATTTAAAGAAAACTAAAAGCTAATATAAAATGAAATTAAAAATGTTTGTTAAAGTTCAGAACAACCAAGTATAATATACATTAAAATTATATTATATAGTGAAAAAAAATAATAAATATGTAAAAAGTAAGTGTAAGTGGAAAAATTTTAATCTATGCGAATAAAAACATAATATTAGGACACTCGACTGGGGAAAGCAAATGTGCGTAATAGCTTGCCCCTCCCATTTCACCTATCCCATCCTTTTTGACAACCTTCCCTATACGAAAACTCACAAGGTTGAATAAATTAATTAAGACTACGTCCGATCTGCAGTGCGCACCTGCCCGATACTAATGTCTGATTACTAAGAACGAGCCTGAGTACGCTGTAAGCCATATACTTTAACCTGGATGGAACTTCGCTTCAACGCTGATAAGGAAATAGACCTTGTGAAACCAATGCTGATCACAAATCCCTATTATATCTACGGAAGTCTGATCCCGGGTTTTCTATCCCTATTATTAGGGTTCCGTCTGGATAGCATGGCACAAAGAATACTAATTACTTGCCTACAACTGTTCCTATTCCTACTACTGCAATCTGTATTTATATTTGTTACTGCCCATGATGCTGCACCTATGTCTAAATTTGTTTGCGAATGACAAGAAATCGGAAAACTCGCTCTTGATGATGAAGATGATATGCCCCATTACAGGTGTATTGATTGGAAGATTTTGTAGCTGTCTTTCCAGGCGTTCTTGTATTACATAAGTGTGTGTTATTATAATATAAAGTGTAAATTGGTTAAATGTAAGAAATTCCTGAGATATTCAATTGATACACAATCCTCGTATTTTCGTTTTCTTATTGACTTTGAATTGTTTTCTAACACAGATTAGGGAGTTTTTTTGCACTTCCAGTCTGAGTAGGGGCAGTTTTTATCTTTTCTAGTTACATTTGTTTTATAAGGTCCCTGAAGTGCCGATAATCTGATGTCCCATGAAAAGATATTGTTTTGCAGCTCCCACGTGAGGTATGAACAATGTTCTGCAGTGCAAACTCTTGCTATTTCTGATCTAACGGTTGTGGATGTGTTGCAAGAGCTGGATATTCGCATTTCTACTGTTAAAAACATAGTCTTCACTCTGATATTTGATTTACTCCTTTTTGTTTAACATTCTTTCTGCTCTTCAGCCTGCGACTTGGTTTTACATTTAATTTCAGAACATTTGTACTTCGCTGGTGGAAAATCACTGAGTTACTTTACAGTTTTGTTAAATGCGTTAATCCTCGATTTGCAAAAATGTTTACAGCTCTTCTATACACCAAACGTACTAGTACTGGTGCTTGTGCGTTGGTAGTTGTACATCGGTATATATTGTATACGGTAAATGGTGTAAAGTACATGCATGTACTTATACATAGACTATAGTATAATTGTTTTCTTTGACTACACGTACGCATATGCACATATACATGCGTGTATATGTGTATATATAAAAAATGATTTTAATTTCTGTTACTTTATTCGTCGTAAATATGTATAAGTAGAAAAAGGGCTTTTCCACTACTTACTTGATATTTTATCCCTGATAACGTTTTACTTTTGTTTGTTGGTTGGATTTGTTTGTTTGCTTGTTGCTTGTTACACTTCTCTGATCTTTCGACTTCATGTTTAACATTAGATTTGCGTTAATCTTACATTATTCTTACATTAGTCCTACATTTACATTAAAAAAAAAAACACACATCTCTTACTCTACATATTTGTTCTTACTGGATTCCGACACTTTAGAGAACGCACAATAGTGCAGCAGTTGGCAAATAAAATAGGATAAAGAGTAGATACTAGCAAAAAAAAAAGGTTTACATATGTATGTGTTTACATTTTTGTTGTATGATGACTGTTGTATGTGACCGTTTAACGCTGTTGGTGTGTGTTTAAACCAAAACAACAAAAATTGGCGCTGGACTGTGGGGGCTGGGCGGGGAGGTGACGGGGCAGAGCCTGAGTGCCGGTGGCACTAGACAGGTGGCTCAGATTATGTTTAAGATTCGGTTGCGATTTTGAATGCAGTTTTATCTTTAGTTTCAGTTTCAGTTTGAGTTACAGATTCAGATTCATTTGCAGTTGCGTGATATGTACCGTAATTGTTTAATCCGCACAGCGCCAGCCCACGCCCCCAGCATTTGTGTGTGTGTGTGTTATAGTCCTTCTTTCTCTTCCCATTTCGCTGTCGTTAATGGTAACATAACTCTAATCCTAATAAGTATTCCCTAAACGCAACTTCACGCTTTTTGTGTTGGCCTGCTCGTGCAGTTTCCAGAGGTATTTATGATTTATCGAAATTATTTACACGATTCTTGAGGTATTGCACATGAAGCAGCGAAAGTGCTTCAACTACTATGTAGGTGAGAGAAGCACAAATAACTAATGGTACGAATAGATACAAAAAAAAACTCTGGCATAGTAATAATCGTAATAATTACGTAACATAAAAGTAAGAATAATAAAACAGTTGACGCCAAAATATGCCTAAGCTTAGAGTACGCACGATAATTAATAATATAAACTAAGACCTAGTGCAGGCTGAGGACCCCGCTCGTTTCCTGGAGAGGGGTCATCGGTCCAGTGCAAAAACAATGGGCAAAGTATGTGTAGCTGGTCTGGGCTGCTGCTCCTTGGCGTCCGCCTGACAGACGGACTGGCGGGCAGGCTCGTTCTCTAAAAAATGGCGTTCCAGCTTAGCTCCTATTGGATGCCCGGCGGCGGCTGTCCCAGTTCGCTGGTGAAGTCGAACAGGCTGGTGCGCGGATGGGAGAGGGCGTGGTGGTGCTGATGCGGGTGGTGGCCATGTCCGTGGCCGTGGCCCACCAGCCCGTGTTTGATGGCCGACGTCTTGAGCAGCCGCTTGAGCATACCGCTCGAGCCGCGGTGCTGCAGGCTCTTGTGCGTCGTCAGCGAGTTCTTGGTGCGATACCGTCGGTGGCAGAACTCGCACACGTACAGCGTGTCCGACTGCTCGTGCTTGTCCTGGAAGTGCCGCTTCAGCGAGTAGTAGCACGAGAAGGTGCGACGGCAGTAGGGGCACTCCTGCGGCTCGTTGATGCCCCCGCTGGTAGGCGGCGGCATGCGGAGCGGTAGCTGCGGAGTGCCTGCCTGTGCGACGCCCCCTCCCGCTGCCGCCTGGCTGCCAGGACTCGAGCCGTTGTTGCTGTTCGTGTTGCCGTTGTTGCTGATTGTGTTGCCATTGTTGTTGCCGCTACTGTTGCTCCCGTTGCCCCCGCCGATAGAAGTGGAGGAGCAGAGGTTGCTGCCAACACTACTGCCCACGCTGCCCGGACGCGGCGGCGAGGTGGCGTGGCCCAGAACGTGGCCGTGGGCGTGGCTATGCAGGTTGTATACGGCGGCGGCCAGGCTGCCGTTCAACGAACTGGTGGGCGAGGTTAGGGCCGTGGGCGGCGACGGCGGCGATGAGGTAGAGCTGGCGGGCGATGTAGCTGCGGAGCGGGTGATGCTGTGCGGTCCTGCACAGGAGACAAAAAAGAAAGGCGTTAGAGCGGTTGGACTGGGTGCGATGGCTGTTGGTGGTTGGTGGGGTTGTCGGGATCGATTCGAATTAGCTTAGGTATATTTATTGGTATAGGTATCGGTATTGTATTTGATATTTATATTGCTGTTGTGGTTGTTCAGAAAGTATGAAAATAAAAGTGCAGTTAAAAGGTATAGATACATGATTGATTGTCGTTCGGTTCGCCGGCCTTTCGGACGACTAGGATACGGGAGGGGTAAGGGTGGAGGTACAGGAAAGAGGATAGAGGAAGATGTTTAAAATAAAATACGGTAGGTTGGTAGTAAATGCTTGAATGCTCTATTTTAGCATTAAGAACTTCCTGAATTGAGTTGAATTTAATTAAAATTGGTTGCTAGCAGAAAATAGAGGTAAAGCGTTAAGTACAAATATAAAGGTAAATATAAAGGCGTGTATTGGTTAAAGTTTAGATTTAATCTTCTGCCCCTAAATAGGCTATTCCGAACTTAGTTTCCGGCTCGTCGCGCTCTTTTATTTATACATTCTGTACAGAACGAATCGGAAACGGTTTGGAGTTGAAACAGAAGCGGTTAAATTTTTCGATGACTCGACAAGTTCGGACCTTGATTTTGAAAAAAAAAGTTTTTTTGCACGTCTAAGCTTTTGTTATATGCATATGTGTGGAGTTATGTCAGATACGTAATTCTACTTAAGTGTACTAACTGCTTTCCTACTTGAGATACCATCCCAGCCCGTGTCGAGCGTCTGGTAGCAGCGAATCCGATTCCGAGTCCGAGTCCGATAGGGATTCGGATTCGGAAAAGAGCATGCATGTACCGACAACCAGTTGTACTCGACAGCGGTCTTAGAACGAGGAGTTTGGGGTATTTGCATCTGATATGTAAACTGTACACTTGCGACTACTTCGTAGGCGTAAATAGGGAAATTGGGCTAGCTAACAACCGATTGTACAAATATACATATGAAGTACGAACGAGTTACACTACAAACCAAACAAAGTGCACATGCAATCACAACACGAACGAGTGAATGAGTGTCTATGAGTGAGTGTGTTTTTGTGTGTGTTATTTATGTAGGGTAGCAGGTAGATTAAATTGTCGCTAAGGACAAAGGCCACAGATGCAAGCAAGCAGCGTATGACTGTGAGGCAAGCGAGTAGCGAGTGGCATGCAGAGATACAAGCGAGAGCAAAGAACCAAAAGTAAAGCAATAAATTTGGAGCTAATCGCATTTCGAATATGGATTTCAGATGTGTCTTGCGAGCTTTTGCTCGTCGGTTTTGATCAATTTGGCTTGTTTTAGATACGGTTGGTTAGGCTGGCTTAGTTTACTTTGCTTTTCTTTTGAGAGCAGATATGGAAAATAAAACTAAACGAAAGCGTTACATAAATAATAAACTATGTTTGCAGTTAGTAGTTGGGCCCCTACTCGATTAAATAGATCAAGCGTAGACAATGCGTGGCGAGACTGGGATTTAATTCTTATTTGTCGTGGCCCTTCGACAACGCAAACTTACCAAAACGAAAAGCTAAATATTTGAATAGACTGATTTGTAAAAATTTATTTGTAGTTGCAGCGTTCGTTTTCGATTTCTTAGCTCTCTATATATTCGTACTTATATTTATAGTTGTAAGTAGTATTCTTTGTACATATGTACATTGCATATTTTTACAGTTGCATCAGAGCGGGAACAGGAAGTGATGAGACAGAGAGAGAGAAAGAGAGAGGAAAGAGACAACAATACGAGTACTGGAAACGCAGATGCCAAGTCAACGCGGCGTAAGAGGAGCAGAGGTTCGAAGATCAGATGAACTGGGGATCTGAGAAAGGGGTGTTAGCGGGTGTTGCTTCCAAGGGAGAAGTTGGATCGCCCCGCATCAGGGCGAATCTCCTCGGGACATATACTGAAAATGTTCAAATCATTTAAGAACAGGCGATATCGCTCTGGTCACTACGGTTAGTAAAGCTTCAGATATAGAGAGTAGAATTATAGATAGGGAAAGTGCCTCCCGTGAGCTAAACGACCTGATGTTATGTCTAAGAGTCGCTTTGCTATGGAGTATTACTTGTTAGGCGTGTAAACGAGTTGTATAAGACATAGCGAGTAGGAAACAAAAAGGCAGAAAGAGAGAGAGATAGAGAGAGAGGGATAGAGCGAGATCGACTACGGTATCGAGTGAGTGAATCGTACTTACAGATCGCAGATGTTCTTTGTACATGAGTGGTTTGGCTATAGCTACGGCGAGTCTAGTAGAAAGTGAGAACGAGAGCGGGGAGGAGTTCGGAGCGCGTGAGCAGGCAAGACATGGTTACAATATACATAAGAGTTCTTAGGCGGATGGTGCCAGAGCGGTGGATAGACGAGGAGAGTGCGTAGTAAGTGGCAAGTCGGCCAAGGCTGGCATACCACAAAAGATGGTCGGATCTATTGTTTTCTATATAGAAACAATTTTGACAGAATATATCGATAGCGCTGGGGTGGCGAAAACGCTCGATGGATCGTTAGTGTGTATGGTAAGTAGGAGAAAGATACAGAGGAAGAGAAAGGACTTGTACAGATAGATTTAGCCGAGTAGAGATGGCTGGGCTCAAGAGAAAGGCAGTGTGTAGATCGAGGCCATGAGAGGGAGATAGCATGTAATGTACTAACTACGTATCGGCGCATGGTCTGATACTTGGCTACCAATGTAGTTTAAGGTGTTGGGCTAACCTTTAGCAAGCGCGCGATCTTCTACTTTGACAGACTAACGAGTAGCGGGTGCGGGTAGCGAGGGGCTGGTAGCGAGTAAAGTTAAAGTTGCAGCTCTTGCGCTGGTGGATGGCTTGAAGTCAAGTGGAGCCAGCTCACATCCCTCTGATGCGGACCAGACTGTGGATGTTACAGATTCTGGATTCTGAGTCTCTTGCTCCGCTCGACAAATTGTGTTCTATGTGCGGCCTGTGGTTGTAGCTGTTGTCTGGTAGTTTTGGTTGTTGATGTTGAGCCGAGCCGAGTCGCACCAAGCCACGCCCTAGTAGTTGCACATTTATAGCATTAGGCACAAGTTGACCGGCAAACTAGGGGACTTACGTCTAAGGTTTATTTTTGTTCTTTACTTCCTATTTTAAGTTATTCGTCTACGAGTTATGTATATGTTATATATATTTTTACGAATATATATATGTATGTTGCTTTATATAAGTATTGATGCTACGGAAGAAAGCACTTTATAATCTGTTCAGTTTGTCCAAGTCGAGTGGGAAATTATGTAGATATTCAGAAAGGCAACTTGTGCAAGAGAGCTCTAATTGTAAAATTGACTACGAGTACGTTATATGAGGTATAAGGTAAAAGAAGGCCACAGAGTGTAAATAGTGTATATTCGTATTCTTTATACTGGTCCATAGGCATGAGTTATGAAAAAGTCAGCAAGTCTACATCGATGTACAGTTTGATCTGGCTAGTCTAAGTCTAATCTATAAGAGTTCCAAATATTCTCTTATGCCTAGCTTACGTCTAATGTGTTTTGTTAAGCAAATTATAGCTCTATTGTTCGTAATCGTCTCCCCTCCCCATAATGGGGTCTGCTCTCTTTGTTCGTCGTGTATAATAGATTGGTAGGTATGTATATATATCACTACATATTGGCATTGCTTTAAGTTTGAGCTAAGTCCTAGTCTAGGTCTAGTTGCTCGTGGTGGCAATCGAAGGGCCGTGACTTCTGCTGTGACTGGGGCGGTTACCGCTCGTAGTGCGCTGGTTTAGGTAGTAGTCGTACAGCGTCATTATCTGTCTCTGCTGGATAAGCAGCTGGTACTGGTCGTTTAGCGGCATTGGTCGCTTTGGATACAACCCGGGATGAGCGCGATCTATGTGATCGGTCCCGAGCAGAACTGTCATGGGAGTTGTAGTGGGAGTCAGGGTCAGCGACGTTAATAAAAAGGGGCTGGGGGTGGGTGTGGGAATGGTGTTAGTTGTCATGGTCGTGGTGTCGTTCTTCGCTGGTGGCTGTTGGTGTTGACTTTGCTGTGGCACGCTGCTAGGGCGACCCGGCAAGGGCGTTAAGTCTCAGATCGACGAGTTGAACTGGTTGTAGAGCTTTATGTCCTTCATCTCCATTTCGCCGGGCCGGGACTTGTGGTAGGTATAAATGTGCGTCATGAGCGAGTTGCGTGAGCAGTAGACCCGCTCGCAGATGGCGCAACGGTATTCCTCTTGGCGCACGGCGTGCTTGTCGGCAATGTGGCGCTTGAGCGAGGCTTTCGAGCAAAGGAGCTTACCGCAGAGCTGGCATGAGAAGAGTTTCTTGGGCGAGTTTCCTGCAAATTGGTGGATTGGTGGATTTGGATTTGGTATGATTGGTATTTGGTTGGTACTAGTGCTCAAATAGTTTGATCGGGTCGAAACTTTATCCTAACTACGAAAAATGACCGATACTTTCGTTTGGTGTTCACACGAAAGACTCTCGGATTCGTCTGAGCATTTTTACGCTAGGAGGAACTGAAATGCATAATTAGCCACTGATCAGAAGAGCAAACAACTGCCGATGTGTGATCGAGTGTCTGGCATGGTAATGGCAAAGGAGATACATAATTAACATAACATATATATACATAAAAATTATAATATAGATATATTTCCCGACCAGTCGCTGCATCACCTTTTTCTCCTGTGGACCGCAATGGAGTGAGTGAAGAGGAGCGTTGTGGTGCGCCACCACCACTGGCGACTGGTAAAAGGCGGCCGTGTTATCGACTAACAGTTTACAATTAGGGTTACGACTAGCGTTATCGGTTATCAGTGATCAGTTATCGTGTAATAGTGGGTTGTGGGTTGTGGGTGTAGGTGGTGGGACGGTCTTGATTTGGATTAATATAGCGATCAAATGTTAGGCCTCGATGATCAATTGGGGACACTTAGAAAGAACATGGCAAGGTAAGGCGATATTCTATGCTCGATGGGTGATGACGAAGAGCGGAGTGGAGTGGAGTGAATCAGTGGTCCCAGCACCAGACACTCATACAGATGGCGTGGACACAAATACAGCACATTTTTAAATCAGGATCGGGGAATGGGAAAGGTTAGTTAAAGAATCGAGATCCGCAAGTTCCAAGTTCTATTTCGGTGACCCAGGGACCAACAAAGGGGCAGTGGCAGGATAACCAGGGAGGGGTAAGAAAGAAATTCTCTGCACGCAAAACGATTCACTTATATACATTCTATTTTATTAAATAATAACACGATATCAGTTTGTTTTTATTTATGAAAATACTCCGTTTTCCTACTGTCTGTCTGAGTGTGTGAATGTGTCTGCGTTGCGCTTGTTGTGTGTCTGTCATTCGACAGATTTTTATAAACTTGTATTCCGATTTACGTATAACGAAATTAACGGGTATTTCTCTGTGTTTCGGTTCGGATTTATTTGTTTTGGTTTTTCTTTTATTAGAGCTGGTGGTTTACATTTACACAAATACATCAAATTAGTAATTAATAAAATTTTTTATTTTGCTTTGCATATATATGTGTGAGGGTGTATTTTATCGGCTTGCCGCTTGGGTTAGTTCTAGTGCTGGCACCTTGCTTATATACAAGTGTACGTACAGGAGACATGTACATTTCTTACTAGGCTAGAGTGGAAAACTTAATAGTTTTTATTGTAGTTTGAGTTCGAGTTTTTGGGAAAAACAATTCGAAAGTCTCGTTTAAGTGTCGCCAAAGAAAACTTTTGTTTGCTACTTTAGTTTTATGACTGATGCTGCTTTTTGTCCTGGCTGGATCTTCGATCTGCCTTGGTTTCAGTATGGTTGTGGTAGTTATGGATATTGGTATGGGTTATATTTCTACCGTTATAAGTATGCAAGCGTCTGTGTACGAGTGTTTGCAACTAGATGAGATATTTTATTGTATTGGCTTGTCTTTGATTCTGACCAAGCGGCATAAAGCGAGAAAAGAAGTAGAGTGATTTTGACCAGTAAGGTGGTTGTGTACTCTTTCCTTCGCTCCCTTTCTCCACTCAACACCGTCTGGGTTCTATTTCTATGCATATTCTATTGAATTTCGTGGGTAAGCCGCCACTTTTTACTGCTTCCTCGGATTTGCTATTTTACTTATGTATGTATATCCATGTAGTTACTGCATTTTTACTGTTGTTTAGTTTATTTCTTAAATATCGGGTATTGTAATTGTAATTGTATTTGTAATGTAATTGTAATTGTAAGCTTTATGTGGCTTGGAGCTAATGGTTCATTGGATAATACGGTTCAGTATGCATACATTCACTTAACTGGCAAGGGTATAGGAAAGTTTTTCGGTTAGGAAAAGGGTGGGAACATCTATACGAATAGGAAAATAATTCTCATAGTATACACGTTAAGCAGGCGAACCTACTGTTGATAACTCGTTATTTAATCGGTATTTTGTGTTCGGTTTTGCGTTTTGGTATTTCGGTAATCTGTTTGGGTTTCTCGCTTACAGAGATCTTACTGCTGATATTTCGATAATCAATATGCTATTTAGTTAGTTAGTAGTTGGTTAGCTCCTCAGTTTAGTTAGATGAGTTTATCCTGTGTTCTCACTTGATGTACCTTCTCATACACACTGGGGATTGTGAATTGCTATCTGGCATGCCTGTTAGTAGTACTTGTTTCAAGTAATCAACATTTAAAGTGCAAAGCTGCGACATTTTCACGTCTTCGAACTGCTTTGTGATTATGTACTCATTGGTTTGGGTTTAATTCCCACATTTATTGAACATAATAAAAACGAGGTGACATTTGGGGTGAGATCGGAGAGCTAAGGACAGCACTCGGATGCCCTTAATATGACATTGCAGCTGGCGATTGCTGATCGCTTTGGCTTAACAAACCGAATATTCTCTTTACAGGTAGATACAGATACAGCTATGAGTTAGCTCGTACGGTAAACTTATTATAGTCGTATGTGAATAGCTATGTTAATCGAAATTTGGTATCAAAACGTGGGTGATTTAACGTAATAAACTTTTCAGACTTTTCGTTTGCCAAAAGAAGCAAGACAAAATACAATGGGGAAATGAAATTTCGCCATGCGCCTAGATTATGCGTGGGTGAGTTACACTAAGTGTTAATTATAATGGGTTGTATAAAAATACAATTCGACTATACTCGCACACAACGTTTCAGCGCTCAAACCTTTCCACTTCTCTTCTATTTCTTCGACTTATCGGTATGCACAGATACCCAGCTAGGTCTGAATTTTAACTAAGGCTCTTCCTAGCGCTATCATCCCTAACGCTAGACCCAACCCATGATGAAATTGCACGCGCCTAAAAATAATATCGTTCTTTACGGTTCCTCTGCCCGACTCTTTCTTCGGGTTGTTCTAGTCCTTGCCCCTTCCAAAGTTCTACTTCAAATGGTCAGTCTTCAAATTAAGGTAAGTTGTGCTGGAAGCAAAGTAATCCATCTATATCTGGTCGCTAATTTTGATTATACATTTAGTGTCGCAAAATCTACCAATTGGAAAGAATAATTTGTGGCAACATTTTAACTGAGGACCAACAATTTTATTGTTCGAATTTCAGTTGTCAGCTTACGTTTATCGATGATCGCTCATCAGCCTTCGGTAAAGTTTAAAACTAGTCAGTCCTTTTTCCCCGTGGCAAGCGAGACGACAGCTTCGGAACGCGATCGAACCCTTTTGATCCTTGTACTCTTACTAATATTTAACTCCCCCGCCTCCTTACCTTCCCCTCAGTGCTACTTCCACCTATTTACAATCTTAGATCTCCGCTCATCCTCCATCTCAAAATTGATTGATGGCTTCGCTGCCTATGCGTTATGCTGAGTCATAGTCTTAATTATATTCATATTATATTCATATTTAAAGTTATACATGTACAAATGTATAGTAGTGTGTGTTTTCCTAGGAGCAACGCTTGTAATTGCAGATAAGTAAAAAAAAAATCGTATTACACACACACATTTTCTTAGGACTAGGTTTACATTGTTGTGGTTTTTACATTGACCTTTCTACTCATTTGATGAATATTTTAATGTACACACACATATATATATATATATATATATATATATGTATACATATATATATATATATCTTACAATAATACAATAAAAAAAAATGCGTTAGTTGTAAGTTCTGCTGTATTATGGTGTTAAGAAAAGTCATATGCGACGAAAATCGAATAGTTAGATGCTGTACAGATAAGGGGAAGAGCTAGACATAGCGCATTGCACATTAGTTCAGTGATTTAGATTCAGATTTAGTGTGATCCCCGGCTGCATCCACATTCACAACGATTGGCGGATATGGTTCGGTTCGGATTAGGTTTCGAGAGGCAAGACGATTACGTCTTGCGCTTCCTGCGGGTAATACTCAGGGGTACGTGTTCAATGGGGTATGGCGTGTGTACGTGTGGGTGGCATGGTTAACAGTCTTCTATCCTGTGCTCCAAGCTCGGGTTGGAGCGCCGCTTTTTTCTAATCTAGCTCTAACGTGACAAACTCTATTCGCATCCCAATTTGGGATGGGGAAAAAAAATGCTTATATGTATACGTGTTCTGCCCAGATTTCGAGTCTGCTCCAGCGCGATCTAATTGAGTGTGTGCGTGTGTATATGTATGTATATAGCTTTATCATAAAAGACTTTTGTTTTTGCTTGCTTTATAATCAAGTCATAAATAATCACAGTTTTTCCATTTGCCTAAAAATGTTTTTGTCTTCATTTCCTCTCCTTGCTTTCGCTTTCTTGTTTATCGGCTTCGTCTTAATATTTGCCATTTTTGTTTCTTTTTTGTTCTGGCCGAAAAAGTCTTTGAATTTTCCGTTCTGTGAGATCCGAAATATACATGGTTATGTGATCGTAGTCCTGTTCTCATCCTAATCCTTTCGTCCGTTCGGTCGGTTCTTTATACTCATTCTCCACATCCTCCTCCTCATTCTTCATTCGATTGTGTGCGTGTGTTTGGTGCCCGATCGTCGCGTCTAGTTTTCGTAGCATACTTTCCTGCGCCTCGCTTATTGGTCTAATAAATTCATTCGTTCATATGCGTGCTGGTGCGGATGCGGGTGCGGATGGGGGTGCGGGTGCGAAAGCTGGTGGGGATGCTGGTGGGACAGCGAATGCTGGTGGGAAAGGTGGTGCGGCAGGTGGTGCTGCAAGGCGGCGGCGGAGAACCCACCGCCTCCCGCCGAGTGCTCCAGCTGGGTGAGATCGACGGTGGGCGTGCCGCTGGGCCCCTGTACTCCGTACTCCTGAACGCCACTCATTGCCTCCGGCCCAGCTCCCACCCCCGCTCCCGGGCCCGGTCCCGCTGCAGCTGCTGCCGCTGCAGCCGCCGCTGCTGCCGCGGAGTTGTTGAGCGCCACGTGAAACAGCTGCTGCAAGAGTTGCTGTTGATCTTATAAGAAGTCCATGCACGGCTTGACAATGCCCGGCGAGGACTGTTGCTGCTGCTGGTGCGCCGCGGCCAGCTGGAGCGTGGAGCTGGCCGTTCCCCCGGCCACGGCCGCGGCTCCAACTATTGGCGAGAGTAGCAGCTCGGCAGCCGCAGCTGCTGCCGCCGCGGCAGCGGCCACTGCATTGCCCCCGGCTCCGCCAGCGCCCCCGCCCACGTTCACGCTGTTGTTGGCCGCCGCCGCTGCTGCGCTCAGCGAGCTGAGCGACTGGTGGAGCCGGCTGCCCGGACTGCCCGCCTGGCCCACGTTGGCCCCGTGGTGGAAGTACGAGTGGTGGTTCTTCTGGCGGCGGTGGTAGATGCTCTTGTGGTTGTTCAGCGAGTTGAGCGTGCGGAAGACCTTGTGGCACAGGTTGCACACGGCGTTGTTCAGCGGCTGGAGGTGCTGCTGCTCCTTGTGGCGCTTCAGCGTGAGCTTGGTGCTTAGCAGCTTGCCGCACACGTCGCACCGGTGGCAGGCGTTGAGGGGCAGGGGCAGCAGCAACCGGTTGGCCTGTGCCACGTCCTGGGCGCGCACTGAGGAGAGGAGGCTGCCGCCCGGTCCGCCCGCTCCCCCGATCCGCGTCCTCCTCCGCCGCTGGCTCCGGCCACGGCTCCGGAGGGCGAGAGCGAAGCCCGTCGGTGGTGCAACAGGTGGTGGTGCTCCAACGGCGATCCGGCACGGGCCATGGCGTGCGCGTGGGCGTGGGCATGGGCGTGGTGGGCGGCGGCGCTCAGCTCGTGGTGGGTGGCGTGCAGCTGGTGATGGCTCGGCAGCAGCGACAACGGATGCTGGCCGAAATGCGAATGGTGCGATGGCGGCGGCGGTGGTGGCGGCGAAGACGGTGATCCGGTGCCGCCCGGTCCTTCAAGGTCCCGCTCGTGGTCTAGCGATCGCTCTCGCTCTCGCTCTCTCTCTCGCTCGCGTTCGCGCTCCCTCTCGCGCTTGTGGTAGGCGGTGGGCGAGGGCGTGGCACTGTGGCCACCGCCCTCCGCAATGCCCTGCGAGGAGCGGGACAGGCTTCGCTCGCTGCCCGCCGCAATGTGCAGGTCACTGGACTTGCTGCTCCCGCCACCCGACTGCTTCAATTGTTCGTGCTTCAGTTGTTCCTGCTTCAGTTGCTCCTGCTTCAGTTGCTGTTGTTGTGGACTGTTGGTATGTGGTGTGGAATGATGTTGTTGGAGGAGGTGGTGTGGTGATGACTGTTGGTCTACTTGTTGTTGTTGTTGTTGGTTGTTGTTGTTGTTGTTGTTGTTACTATTATTACTATGGGTGCCACTACCGCCGGGCACTATAACGCCGCCGAGTAGGCTGCCGGTGCTGCCACCTATACGGTCATATAGAGGAAGAGAAGAAAAAAAGAGACAATAGTGACTTTTCTGTATATTTGACTTTGTTGTTATTTTGGTTTGTTTTTGTTTGGTTTTCTTTGTTGTTTAGTTGTGTGTTTGAGTAGTTTTGGTAGTTGTTTTGTTCGTGTCTAGTTCTTCGTTTCAGTGTGTCTCTGTCGGATTCCGTGGGCGTGTTTGTCTGGCTGTGTACTGTATCTGTATCTGTATCTGTATAAGTATCTGTAACTGTAACTGTAACTGTTTTTGTGTCTGTTTATGTATGTTTGTTTGTTGTTGATTGGTTTACTTTTATAACACTAACAAATCCAGGCTCAAAACAATGTAAATTTGCTGACTTTGCTAACTTTGCTTTTCTTTAAACTGTTTATTCAAATTTTTGCTTTTGGTAATCGTTTCATTTTTATCTTTTTTGCGAACGCTCTTCTCATTTTTTTTTTTTTGGTTCGCATTGGTTTTTACCAAGGAAGTTGTTGAAAAAACGCTGCTGTTCTCGATTCGATTCGATTTAGATTCGGAGTGGATTAGCAATCTCGCATTTTCGGAGGTTAAATTTTTGTTTTTTGTTTCGGGTTGGGTTTTCGTTCCTTTTTTTCGGGGAAAACGCATGGAAATAAAATGGTAATAAAACGGTTTGTTGACTGTTGTTGTTGCTGTTGCTGTTTTTGTTGTTGCTGTGGCTAGTTTGTGGTGGTTGGAGTTGAACTCGAAGTGCACGGTTCTCAAGCCGCAGGTGGGGAACTCGGCTCGACCTGCGCAGTCTCTCGAATTCGAATCCAAATCGGATTCGATTCGGTTCGGATTCAAAAATTTGCGCCCCGATCGGTGGCAATAGCAGTTGCAGTTGCAAGGTTTCAGTTGCAGTTGCGAGTGCCACGACATTGGGGACGACCTTGGGAACTGGTTGATAATTTTGTGGTGTCTTTGCCAATTGGGTGTGATTTGTCACGAATTTCGTGGATGCTTTTAAACCAATTTGTCTTGTTTTCGATTTCGATTCGCATTTCTCGATTTTCGATTCAATTTCGACTTCAATTCCAATTTAGTATGCGTTCAGTATTTTTTATTCGATTTCTCAATTGTTTGTTAAGTTTAGCAAAATTTTGAAACGTTTTTGGCCTGATTGATTTGTTGTATATATAAAATGTAAAGTATTATTTTGAATTTATCTTTTTTTGGTTATTTTTTCTATTTTGTTTACTTGCAAGTTTCTTGCAGTTGTCACTAGTGTCTCTTTTTTTCAAACTCAATCGCAGCACCGTTGCCTGTGTTGGGTTTGATAGGGTTGGATTGGATTTTGGCGGGATTCGGGTTGAGGCTAAGGTTGGGGTTTGGGGACTGGTTAAAAAGAACAAAATGTGTGGGATATTAAACGTGCTAGGGAACGGGTTGTTCACACGTAGAGGGCTTTTTCACATTAACGGTTGTGGGCAAGGGGTGGTTCGGTGGTTAAATCTGGGGCATCTCTAAGAAGATTCAGATGTTTTGTGTTTCTGTTGGAGGCGAGTCGATCTCGCCGCCTTCTTATGGTGAAGCGGAGGGGGGGTGGGGTTGCTTGAATGTGGGGTGTTAGTATTAGTAGTTTTTCTTTTAAAGATTTTTAGTCTTCAGGGGTTCTTAAAGTACGTAAAGTTTGCGCCCGATTTCAGGTGTGTTGGCGTAGGTGTACGTGTGATAGGGTCAAAGTTCGATTCGGTTTTGTTCGGCACACATGACATGAAACATTAACGAGAAACATGGCAAAAAATCTGGCTCTACAATCTAGACTATGAAAAGTTTTAGTGAGGATATGAGCATGATATGTTTATAGACAGAAACAAATAGGTGGAGATTAAGAATGTGTGTGTGTGTGGGGGGGTGGGGGTTGTACCTCTGTCGGTCGGCTTTCCAAGGCTGGTTTTGGTGTTAGTTTTCCAAAGGGGGCGAGTGACGAGTCCTCGATTGACATGCATACAACACCGAGGTTGGGGCGTGGGTGCTGGGGAGTGACCTCGGGAATGGACAGGGTAAATGAAATATCGCTTTGATGTGTAGACGTTTATTGTAATTATCATGAATTGAATTAGAATCGTAAGTGGAGTTCTTCGCACAGAACCGCATTCGCTTCAGATCATACATGGATATTAACTGCATTGGCTTGCGGGTGTGTGGCGTATATACGTATATATATATATTTGCTTGTATTTATAGGTCTTACGCACATACATGTGTCTGTATTTTTACTTAGCAGCACTAAAAATTAACGAACACAGGTTTAATAATCGAAGTATCCGGTCAAACATATCAGTATCATTATTCAATATTCGAATATTTAACATTAAAAATACAAAAAAAAATTGTTTAAAAAAATTGATAAACATTTTTCTTAACCTAGACATATGCGTCGTGATTCGAGTGAGTATGGGTGCGTACGTGTGTTGGTGTGCGCTTAAACCTTACTATTCAGAATCTGATAACTAGTTTAGAGTACTATAGAAAAGATCTTTGCAATTGGTCGGTCGTTCGGTCGGTCGCTCCCTCTCGCTCATCGCAGCTTGTTCTTTTAAACTCGTAAACTTTTTTTCGCCTACATGTATAAATCTTAACTTTTCAACATTATTTATATATTATGTAAAGGTTAAAAAAACTGCAGCTTGGTCTTTATTTTTAAAATGTTGTGAAAGATAATTCGTACTCCTATCCCCCTTGTAATTGGTATACGATTTGTGCCTATCATAAAGTGTATATAGAATATACTGTCTGTCTATCGAATAAATTGTATTTATTTAAAGCCATTTCGAAGAATTCACTACGGGCACCTCTGCTAGCTCCTACTTAACGTTATTAAGACCTATATAGCTGATGTGGGATGGTAATGGGAATGGGGTGATAAGGTTTCCATAACTCTTGGAAACGTTTCAAGCGTAGGTGGGAAGGGAGTGGATGGGGAAATGGGGGTAAGTGGGGTAATCTTAGGGTTAGTAACGGCTACCGATTTACTCTGTATTAACTGTATAAACTGTGTATCCTGTGCTTAGCAACTACCGAAGGCAACTAATTGTAACTAGCCTAGACCGTGTGTGTGTGTGCACATCCATTTCCCTCAAATTTCATCAGTTGTTTTCCATCTGGTCTTTAATAGTTAATGTGTACAAAAAGCACCGTCCCACTTCCGAATGTGGGTTTGTGTTTGTTCCTATACCTTACACCTACGTTTGCTTGACATTCAGTTCGTTCATTACAATCGCCAAGGGACAAACTTAACAAGAACCTTCTACTCCCACTGGCGGTACCGCTCGGGAGCCCCCCCTCAGCTGGAGAACCCTCCACCTCTGTCGGTCACCTGGTGAGGGTGAGGGTGGTGCCGCGTCTGATGTTGCTGGCGGTAGTCGAAGTACATGAAGCCCTATGAGGAGGAGTGGTGGTTCAGCTGCTGCTGCTGGTGCTGCTGATGGTAGAAGCTGTTTGCCGTGGCCTGTGTGGCACCGGCGCCCGGTTCCTGCTTGGGCTGCTTGAGGTTGCGGTGGTAGATGCTCTTGTGGTTGCGCAGGCTGTTCAGAGAACTGTAGACGCGTTTGCAAATGTTGCACACGGGTTCCTTGGTGGGGCGCATGTGCACGTTCTGGATGTGGCGCTTGAGGCGCGTCAGTGAGCTCAGGTTCTTGTTGCACGGGTTGCATCGGAAGTCGTCGCCGCCGCTGGTCGCGCTACTCAGACCGCCCACTCCGCCGGCGCCGCTCGATGAGTTGAGAGCTGAGTTTAGACCGCCCGTGGAGTTGTTCAACGAGCTGTTGGCGCTGCCACTTGTCGAGGCGGACGCGGATGCTGATGCCGAGGCCGCCATGTTGGCCATCACCGCCGCGAACATCTGCTGCGGGGTGGTGGTGGGCGTGTTGGGGGTGGGCGTGCTGCAGGCCAGGATCCCGTTGGGCGTTTGGGTGCCCGAGTTGTTTCCCTGCTGTTGCTGTTGCTGTTGCTGCTGTTGTTGCGACATCTGGTGGTGGTGCTGCTGCTGCTGGGGCAGCAGGGCGGTCACCGAGAGTCCGCCGTTGCTACCGCCGCTGCTCCCGTTGGCTGCGAAAGTGGAGAGGTTAAGGCCACAGATGCCGGAGGCACTTGTGATGGCTGTAGGTCGAGTTGGATTTGTTGTTGTTGTTGTTGTAGTAGTAGTTGGTGGTGATGGAGTTGGAGTTTTTGTTGAGTTGGAGGTTTTTGTTGGTAGAGAGTAAACGTAGTTGTTGTTGTTGTTGGTAATCAAGTTGTTGTTTATTGTTGTTGTAGTAGTTGTAGCATTTGTCGTCAGTTTACCTGACGACAAAGTGGGGAAGAAAGTCAGAAAACGTCGCATTAGCCCAAGGACAACGAGTTTTATTGAATTGAATTGTTTTTTTGCCTCAATTTTGCGTTTGGATTCAGATTTGGACTTTTGAATGTTTGATTTTCGATATTTTTGTTTGTTTTCATGGGATATATAGCCGGATAGTTATCATAAAACGAATTTCGTTAGCATTTTTTGCATCAAATATGTAAGATTGTTTAATTTATGCTTTAGCTTTTGCTTAAGCCAGTGGCTAATTTAACTTTGGATTTATTTTTCGATTGTTCAATCTGTTTTTCTTGCGAAGTGCGTCACATTAGACAGAGAGATAAACAGAAAGGGAGAGAAAGAGAAAAATAGATGGTGAGGTGGGGAAAAGGGTTTTTGGGATATGGCATATGGAAAAGAAAACGGCTGGCTCTGCATGGGAAATGCGAGAAATTTATTTCTTTTTTGATTGTTCGTCGACGTTTCAGTTTCAGTTTTTCATTATTCAACTCGAAACCGAATTGCCGTGCCTGCGACTCAAACTGTGCGCATCGACTCTTTCTTTCTTGGCGTCTGCTTATATGGACATCGATGTCGATCTGATCGAATGATGGACACTACCGATACTCAACGTGTGCAAAATTGTTGGGGTTCTTTTGTTTGGTTTAGGTTTGGTTTAAGGTTTTTCTTGGTTGGTTGGCTGGTTTTGTTTGGTTTGGGTTGATTTTGCTGTAGTTTAGTTGGTTGTTGTTTAACTCATTACCATAGTGTGCGGTGGTGTGTGGTAATTTACAAAGTAGGAGCGGGAATAGAAGGAATATTTGAATTCGGGCGAAAAAGGAAGGTAAGAGAAGAGCGGCAGGTGTCTGTTTGTGTGTGTCTGTGTGCTCGTTTGTTTGTGTGTGTGTGTGGATGTGTTTGTGTAAAACACCATCACCATAAAAAGTTCATAGTATCTGTACTTTCATTTTCGTGTATTGTGGTGTTCGTGTACTCTGGCTTCCCGTACCTAGTAATTCTCTCCGTGTCTGTTTGTGTGTGTTTGTGTGTGTGTATAGGGGGTTCGAAGTTTTGTGTGTGTGTGTGTGTCACTTAAAAATCTCTAGAATTAAACCGTTGCCAAATTATAACCTTCATCTTCATCATCATTATCTCTTCCCGTTATTATAATGGTATTTTTTAGATTCGATTTTAATTTCGACTTCTTTTTGATTATTCAATGTTAGCAACATTTTGTAAAATTTACATTGTGCTTAAATTAAAATAAAACTTTAGCTTTTAGTTATTTTTTTATTCTTGGGCTTGCGGATGGGTTGGAGGGTTGGTATTTCTCTTCGATTTTTTGACAGTTTTGTAAATATTCTTGGATAACAAGTTATTGTTTCCCTGTTTTTACGTTTCTCAATTTAGGGTCCATCTAATTGACCTTTACATCTTATATGCTGTATGCTAATAATAATACATTGTTTAATGTAAAATGTTTTCAATTTAAGTAATCCTCCTTTAAAGCATAATTTTTCGTAATTTCCCAACTCCTCTATTCCATCCGCAGCTTGCAAACTGGAGATCTTCGTTCTTTTGTGGCTTTCAATTCGTTTGTGTCCTTAGGTGGTAACTTAAATAGATTGGTGGTGGATACATTGTTCGATTTTCGGTTTGCTGGGGTCACCAATTGCGGAACTTAAAATTAGAGAATTTTGAATGCTTTATTCTAGATATGCTAGGCGTAAGCTAGTACTCTGAGTTCTCCTTTCCTGACTGTGTGTGTGTTTGTATTCTTTGGTTTAATAAATAGGAGCAACAAATATATATGTATATATAGAGCGTAATTTAAAGCGGTTTGTCAATCAAATGTATATACTTGAAGCCTTAAGTTGTTTGTAAAGGTATTCTTAGTTTGTGTTCTTTAGTGCTAAGGGAAGTGTGGGTACGGACTTGTGAGATAGAAGAGGGGGAAGTGGGGGTGGGTGTGATTGTATCATGTATCGAGTTGTCTGCTTGGGTCGCCTTTTGGGGCAGTGCTTGTATCTCTGAATCCATTGGGGTTTAGTAAAGCGGATTTATATACGTATATAGGGGTTAGGTCGATCAATTCTTAACAATATTTATGTATATACTTTGGTTCATATATATACGTGTGTGGGTAGGTAGATATATTATATATGTATACTTCTCACGATTATTGGGGGAATTTTAAATTTTGGTCGGTTAGTACAATTGGAAATAAAATAAAGCGTTAGGCGATCAACTAAGGTATTAGTTCCCTCTGGCGATCTTTTTGTTAGCTGTTGGAGCGCATAATAGAGTTCATGTGTGTGTGTGCGGGTGGGCGCTGATGTATGTGTGTGTAAGTATGGGAGTGTGTGTGCTATTGGACTTCTCAAATAGCGAAAGGTTCCTTCTGAATTTCATTTCACGGGGGCTCTTGTGTGTTTGTGTGTCCTGTGGCTGGTCTATAAGTGTGTATGTGTGTGCGTGCGTATTTAGCGTGGCCAGGTGATCGAGGTGTTGGGTTTCAAGTGTGGAGCGTGGAGCGTGCGGTGTCGAGTGGGGACACATTGCGTTGTAGTATGGGTCTGTCGAGAGTCGCGCAACGAAGTGGAGTGAAACGGAATAAACGAATGAAACGTATTGTGTGCGCATGTGTGAACGAATGCCAATCTGTGCTGAGCTCTGACTGATCTTCCGCCCCGGGGCACGGACCAGGGGTCGGAGGATAGGCTATTAACGGATTTACGAGTGCCCGATTTACGTACCCGCGCTCAATTCTATATTCGCAGTAGATAATTGCAAGTTGGTTGGAGTATGAGTGTTGGGGTTTCGTGTGGGGTATTGGGGGGTTTATTTTGAGGTCTGGCCGGGCTGTGTGTGTGCTCAAAGCAAAGTGTGGCCAAATTCGAGGGGACAAGAGACAGACCCAGGGGCAATGGGGTGGCTTGTTTGGGATTCTGGAGGTAAACTAAATGAAAACCCCCTTTACCTCCATCTCAGGCTGTGGGGACTTCGACAGTTGTTAACAAAAGACACATTGAACATTAATGTGAAAATTCGTTCAAATGCAATTGTTGCAAATAAAGCTTTTGTTTGGACTTTGCTGATGGGAGCGGGTCGATGGGTGGTTCATTTGGTGGGGTTTACATAGTTTTAGACACAAGCACGACGATGTACAAATAAATTAAATAGTTCAATATTCAATATACATATATATATATATATTATGTAGGTTTGTATATATTCGATCTTCAAATGCGTTGCGTTTTACATGAAAACTAAAAGTTCACACCAATAAAAATTTGATTGCAAAATGTACTCGGTGTTCGCTTCTCTGCGGGACTTTCGTGTGTCATGTCTAGAGTTTATCAGCCATATTCTTGAAACTGGGAGGAACACAAAAAACGTAATGGAATAAATCAAAATAAAATATTTTGTAAATGAAAAAAAAAAGCTGCGAAATGGGAACTCTGGGATTCTACTCTACAGAATCATAGTATGAAACCGAACTGAAAATATAATTCTCTTTTCCCCTTCCGAGTTTGGTTTAAAAGAACAAAAACGGCGGCTGGCCAGGCTGGATCACGGGATTGGGTGGAAACGGGGAATAATTTCTAACTTGGGGCGGTTTTTGGAACTCTTTGCATGTGTTTGTAGTGGGGAAGTGTATTGGTGTGTGTATTGTATGTGTGAGTGTGCTCTTGCTGTTTTTGTAGTACATTTTGCTGGGGCTTGATTTGTTTTACTTGGGTTTTTTATTACGAATACAAAATATTAGCACACAAAGAGGAACAAAACGAAAAATAACATATGCAGAACAAAAACGGAAACGGAAATATAAACATAAGCGGATTACGCAGTCAAAATAACAACGGTTAAGAAACATTAACGTCACAGTTTGGTGTCGTGTAGCATTCGGTATTAGTTTTGCCCTTGGGATGGTTCTTGGACACGGGCGCGTAAATTGAGGTCGTTTGTGCCCACCACGGCTAATCGATCTTGGCAAGATCAAACATATGGGAGCTGTCAAGGGCTCAAGGGACGGGACTCTGGATTGTTGCGGCCTAACCGCAGCAGCACACACACCGCAACGAGTGTGGCGCGAAGCTTTTGATAATATTTTGCTAAACACTCTGCGGGCCAGACGAGCTGGGAAACTGGGAGTTAATTAATTTTGCGTAGTTCATCAAACAACTCGGGAATCGGGAATTAGAAATAAGCCGATGTGTGGCTGCGCCTGTTGCTCCACTTCGCTGTTGTTTGTTGCTGACTGTTTGCCAAAGTTTCGCGGCTTGTGTTTATTTAGCAATTATCCTCCTATATGCATAATGCATCACTCGTCAACGGCCCCAGCATCATCGGCAGCAAGAACTTGTGGCTCTTTTTCACACGAATGACATTGGAGACTGACTAGTTGCATTGCAGGTACTGGAGTGGGGACATATGTTATATAAAACCTGAAATCTGGAGGCTTTTCCCTGGGTTCTTCTGGCATGTGCGTGTGTGTGAATGTGACCGAAACAAATGAAAACATTTACCATCGAAACAATCAAACAAGAAAGAAATTTATACACTTTTTACGCTACGAAGGGAACTCGAGTTGGAATCGCAACGAACTGCAAACCGTTTCGGGGTTTTTTTTTGGGTGGGGGGGTTATTTCGGTTTGGGTCTGCCGTTGGTTCCAAGGATCAAGTTCAAATTCATATTGGAATTCGGGTGCTGATTCGAGTTGAGTCAAACGGGAAATAAATCGAAAATTAAATCAAAAGTCTTGCTCCTGATCGACACGAATACATATGCGACATGTATGTATGTACGTGTGCGTCCTCAAGTCAGTCGAAACGCAAAAATCGAAAGAAACAAATAAACAACGGAAACAATGAAAATAATACAAAAAATATCTTTAAATTTTATCGAAAATACAACCAAATTATTGTACGGGCAGTCAAAATGATTTCTCAGCAGTTTTTAGTTACATTGACTTAGATTCTGGCTTTGGTTTTTGTTTTAGTTAAAATTTAGTTTCGGGTAAGGAATCTTGTTCTCTTTACTTTTAGGTTTACGTTTGCTTATAGCCTTTCATTTCTTTTGGTATCTGGTATCTGACTTGAATAGACTCTTTGGTATATTATTTTGGTACTTGCATTTGCATTTGCATTTGATGTAAAAAATGTAATAATGAGCTTTTGGGCGCAAATAGAGCGGAACAATAGAGTACGGATAGATAAATGCTCAGACTCACCTTGAGGGGACACGGCGAGATCACCGGACTGCTGCATCTGTGTGTTGAGACCTGATCGTGGCAACCGACAAAGTGTGGCAGCGAGAACGAGAGAGAGGGGGAAAGCGGGGGGAACAGGCGGAGAGCGGAAGGGAAAGCGTTAGTTAGTCAGTTAGTACGCCCACTTCACACGTTGCTCATACGCACCAAGGAACGCTGATTGATCAATATTGCTCATGGGGAAGTTGAAGGCGGCGGCCTGGAACATCTTGTTCTCCGCCGGCGACAAGATGAACTGCGGGGCGGCGTGGTGCGAGGCGAGTACGTCACCGATTTCCTCGTCGTTGCCGGAGCTGGAATGTAATTTCGAGGGTTAGTAGTTCAATGACGGGTCCTTACTTAAATGTATCCTTCAGGCAAATACGTTTTCAAGCTTCTTAACTGATCATCAGAGAACAGCTAACCGTGGGATGTTAGTTTTGTAGCGATTTTGTAATGACTTACCTCAGGGAGCCCTTGCCGCCATCGCCACTGCTGGAGCGGTTTGCGTCGTGCTCGCCGGTGGAGTCGTTGCTGTGCTCGTCGTTGGCGTTGGCATTGTTGTTGGAGCAGACCAGCTCCATGGGCTCCGACTTGACTTCCTCGGCGCCAGCCCGAGCGAGCGGGGAGGGTGTGAGGCTGCCCAGCTTGTCGCTAATGGAGATTCCGTTGCCGTTGCTCGCGCCGTTGCCATTGCCGTTGCCGTTACCAGTGGGTCCGTTGCCTGTGGGAAAGCGGGGCGAAAGGGGGCGGGTTATTAGGCATTGGGTCACCAATCCCCTCCGGGATCGCCAGACACTCACGCTTCTCTTCCTTGAGCGGCGGCGTGTTGTTATTGTTGTGGTGCTTGATCGTACTGAAGTCGGCCGGAGTTTGTTGGGGCGAGGAGCTGCGCGCATGGAGCGACGGCAAGTCGGGGCTGTTGTTGTTGCTGGCCCCGCCGGCGCCGGATAGCGGCAGACCATTGTCCGATCCGCGCAACCGCTTGAGGGCGTGTGAGGTCTCCTCGGTGCTGCGGTGCATCATGGCCATGCGCTTCAGCAGCTGGTTGTTGATGTGCGGGGGCAGCGCCGGGGGTGGCGGGGAGCCCGCTCCCTGGCGGCTGAAGACGGTCGAGGCGCCGCCGTCGTCGTGCAGGGCACCGTGATGTGGATGTGGGTGCGAATGGGCGTGCGTGTTGACCGGCGTGCGGGCACCGACGTTGGCCAGGTTCTGGATCTGAGTCAGGTGCTGCGGACAATGCGAAGTAGAGTGGGGCCCATACTGGCGATAGTGGCTTCTACTCACGCTGTGTGTGTCCTCCGCCTGCTGCTGTGTGAGTCCGGAGACGCGCAGGACCTCGGCGGTCTTTAGGAAGGACTGCAGGGACTTCTGGTGTACGTTCACCTCGCCGTGGTAGATGAACTCCACCAGCGAGTGCAGGTCCATGAAGTTGACATCCTGCAGCAGTATGACCGGGTGTTTGCAGGGTGTGCTCTGTAAGTACAGTGCGTGGATGTGGATATAGCGATTAGTAACTTAGTCAGGCAGTTGCTGAGTCAGGGCACTTGCCCCCTTCCCCCTGTCCCCGATAAGCCTGTTTGCCTGGGCAATTATCACGAGGCTCTGACCAAACAACCTTCAATTGTCGTTGAAACTTGAACAGACCAACGCGCGATTTGAAGTTTGCATTCGCTGCTTTCGTTTTTCGCGTTCGCGTCGCGTTCACCATCAGCTGCAGTTGTTGCTTCTGCCATGTGTAATTCCAGTTCCCGCCCTCCTCCCCCTCACCATCCCCTTCCCACTGTGCACTTTCAGGGCCAGTGCATTCCAGTTTGTGCTGCCTGTGTGTACAGTGAATTTCACTTATCAAGTGGAACTCCAACAAAGGGAGCTGCTCCTCCGCCGTTTCTGTTTCTGTTTCTCTGTCTCTGTTTCTGCTGCTTGGCTAGAAATTAGGTCAAGTCTCGCCTCGTCTTTTGTTTCTCCTCGGCTCCGTTGCCTTTAAAGGCCCTGCATCCCGTGTTTTTGTTTTATTTACTGGCTTTTGCATTTTATGTGCTCTCGTACACACACTCTGAATATTTGCAATTCAGTGCCAGTGCGGCGGTGTAAGTTCATATCTGTGGTATTGCGAAATTGAGGTCAATTTGACGAAAGACGAAGGCGCCTGCAGCCGGAGAGGAGCGGACCGATTGGAAGACTTCCTCTTCAGCCGCCTTCGCTGCAGCAGGCATATCTGCAAATGAGGGGCTTTGGGCGTGGTCCTGGTCGTTACACAAAAGCCAGGAATGCTTTTAACAAATGCCCCGCTCACCAGCAGCCATTAAGTCCCCTCTAGACCCCAAATCTCTCCCCTGGCCAATTGCCATTCTGAATCTGATTCGAAATCAGAGTCCGAATCCGAATCCCCCGGGGATGGGTTTGTCGCTGACATTGTTGTTTGTCAGTTGTTACACCTAATTAAAATAATGCGCTGCAGTTAATTAAATATTTATGCATAGGCGCAAAGTCGCAACAATTGCGACGCCAAGTACTGGGCGGGGCCTCTTAACCCCAGTCGCCGGGAGCCGGTAGCTGGGAGTTGGGAGCTGGGAGCTGGGAGGGGGCCAAGTGTCTGGTCCGGTCGAGTCCAGTTCACTTCGCCTGCCAGTTGCGACTACTGTCCACTGTCTCCTTTTGTACACCTCCTACTGCCCACTTGTATGTATTTCAAATTGAATTTACAAAGTTTTGTGCCAGTGCCGTGGCCGTTGCCGTTGCAGTTGCCATTGCCGTTTTTTGTGTTGCACTGCCAGCCAGCAAAGTTTTGTATACTAATTTCTTGGGTACATAATTTCCACTACAGCAACAAACGGGAAGGCACAAAAAGAACTCAAGAAAAATTCGCTCGGCCCTTTGTTGGCGTTGCTGTTTTTGTCCCGCTGCATTTAGTTGGCCTTTTTAACAAATTAAATGCCGACTTTTTCTGCTCGTGCAATTTCTTGTTTTGGTGGAGGAGGTGAAGGAGGTAAAGGCGGTAAAGGGGGCAAAGGAGAAAACTTTGCCGGGGACTTCTTAACATGTTGTTTCGGTTCCCGTCCTCCGTTGCCATAGTCGTTGCGTAATCAGCGCTGGATTGGCCCGCGGCACTCCCTCTCCCCACGTAGCTTTCTCCTAATTGGAGTTCTTCCCAAAACCAAACAGAACTGACAAGTTTGCCGCGCTGCTCTCTTTTTGTTTGCCGGCCTCGCGCATAATTTGGAACAAAAACGCAAAATAATAACGAAAAGCAGCAAGTTTTCTATCATGTTAACAAATCATGTCGAAAGAGACGGTAACAGTAACGAGGGGCGGTGTTCGGAGGAGGGAACTTTGTAATTTATATAATGTCTGCTGCAGGACTTCCTCTCTGCCTCGTCCCTCGTCTCTTGCCCACCTCCCCCGCCGCCAATGACAGCTTGAACAATGCAAATGGCAAACGTCGAGGCTGTCCCCTCCCCCTTGTCCCCCTCTAACTAGCTTGCCCCGTTCCTGTCGCTCAAAAACCGCAATTGCGTGCAAATATTTTCAATGCAGGCAGCGCAAAGTTTTGGCGGGCAAACGTCGGCAACTAGAGCGATTCACATAATTTTAATGTCATAATAAAAATAATGAACCAAACTGCGGCTTCGGCGGTGCGGGAAGTTTACTTTGACTCCAACTTCGGCCGCAACTTCAAGGATTAGCCAAGGGCGAAGGAAGGATGTGGAAGGCGGTCGCGGCATTTACGCTCCTGCGGATTCGTTTGAACTGCTCTACTTTTGATTTTCCGGACAGACGGACGGAGATCCGCATGCGTTGCATGATCAGGGCACACAAATCAATCATACGTATCGTTGTCCCAGAGCAAAGTCCATGCGGTCGACTCATTTGCACCGCAACTCCACTAAAAATAAATATATTGCTAAAATTGCAGGGTTGTCCCAAGCCAGAAATTATAACGTGCTTCGACTGTATACACAACTTCCTTCCTTCCTTTTTGCTTGCCTTTACCCCTTTACCCCTCTTACCCGAAATCTACCGACAATTGCCGTGTTTGTGTCTATCGCGGCAGTCGGTGCTTTTCTTGTCTTTTTTTCTTAATCCGGCTGTTATTTGCCGTCGTGTGCAACTAAATAAATTAAAATGCAAGCAAAACGCCAGCCCCCACTTCGCTCACCGCTCGACTAAACTTACTCCTGGCCATAATACTTTGGCTAAAAGCACACAACTATTTCCCCACTTCCTTGCCAAATAAACTTTTTCGGAACGTTTTGCCCACCTTGGCAAAGTGGGCCTTTGCTTTACGACTTCAAAGTAGTTCCCTTGCTGCTTTAGATGTATTTTTGGCAGTCTAAACTGATCATGATGCAAGGTAGACTTGACTTGGTGGGAAACCCCGGTACTACCACCACAAATGAAGCCGAAAACCACTATATATCTCCCCTTGCGCTGCGGGCATGTATTATATACATGCACAAATATACGTAATCCCCCAAGTTGAAGACAATCGACTGCGAAGCATGAGACTGACAACGGCGGCTGCTGCACATATGTGTGCACAGGCGGAATTAAAGGCGCAAATCGAGATTTCGGGAGAAATTCACGATCGCTGCTAAGTAGGCCACTCACGCAACCAGACACGCAGATTGGTCAACACTATGTGGCTGAAAATGCAATTGCTTAAGTGTTCGGAGGATAATGTCCCAAACAAATGGTATGTGGGGTTACTAGAGATTGCACACTTACCTTGAGCAGCTCGCGGAAGTAGGGGCTGCAGGCTGAGAGGACGACGCGGTGCGCCTTGATGCTGCGTCCCTCGCAGGCGAGCGTCACATCCACAAAGGCCTCGTCGTCCCGCAGGTTCTCAAATGCCGAGGTGATGCTGCTCTGATAGTTGTTCCAGCGCAGGCAGAAGTGCTGTGTGTCGTCCATCTCGATGAGCTGTTTGTTCCGGGTTTGCCTATGGTACTGGGCTTCTGGCACTTGCTCCTGTTCTGGGTACACGGGTGTAGGCGTGGCTGCGGGCGTTGGTATCGGTATTGGCGTGGAAGTGGGGGTGGGTATGGGCTGCCGAGCGTTGTGGTCGTTTTTGTGGTTGTTTTTGTTGTTGTTGTTGTGATCGTCGTCAACCAACACAACGCTGGCCTTCTTTGAGGTCACCTTCTTGCGTATTTTGACGGCTTTTTCTCGGGCCCCGATTAAAGGATGAAAGCGCTGTGGCTCTCGCACTTCTTTGGTTACTGTCGGTAGTATTTGCTGTTGGGACCGATTGTGTTGCTGGGTAGATAGGCTGTTCACTAATGATTATTTAACTGCAAGCGAAAAGAAAGCAAAAGAGCAAACAATTATTATTTGAGTCGAAATCGGATTACAAGTGGAGCGGCCTGGCCGAGAATCGAACCTCCCGCCGCCCCCTCTTATGTTTACTGCAGTTCAGAGTTCGCTTCAAAATTCTTTTATTTTCGATGCGCGAACTGAAAGTTTGCATTTGTTTCTGCTTTGCTACGGTTTTTTGCTCCGTTTTGCGTTTTTTTTTGCCTGTTCTGCTTCTGTTGCTGCTGCTGTTTTGATTGCAACTATGCGAAATGTTTAAAAATTGTTAACAAATGCAGTTTAAAATGTCAACCACGGCGACGACGCAGCAGCAAAAACCATTTCTATGTCACACGGCGAATCAAAATTAAATAAACTATCAAGACGACAATTAGCACTCGCAGAAGCAGAAGAAGCAACACAAGCGGACGGCGAAAAAAATTAATAACGAGTGCAGAACCACCGAAAAAAAAAACAGAAAGCCATAAAAAACGGAGTGAAAACAGCCAACGCATCGCAAATGGGAGGAGTGAAAAAAGCGAATTATAACAAATGCAAATATACCAAGAACACTTGTACGGTGGGGCGGCAACGGGAGCGGGAGCGGGAGCAGGAACAGGCATGTGGGCACAGGGGCGGGAAACGTTCTGTTCCCATCTGGACATCTTGCAGAAAAACCCAAAAAAAAAAATATAATTTATTTGAATACAGAAAACTTTTGGGGCAGTTCATCTCTCCGCTGTTTCTGTCTCTCCCTCTCCCTATCGCTGTCTTACTCTCGCCGAGCAGTTCGCGAATAGCGAATTGCGATAAGCGGAGCAGAGTAGCGGCAGAGCTTTCGCTCGACATTGAAAGTGAAAACTATTAGATAAGTCCGCCGGGCGTGCGCTGCACTTTTTTTTTGTCTGTAAACCCACAAGCTGATACGTATGAGTGATGTGTCCGCACAAAAATAGCCCCTCGCAGATCCCTTTGTGTACAGGCGTTGCGATATCGTCATCCCATTACCCAGTCTTATTCCCATTCTAATTCCCATTCCCACCGATTCTCCAATTGCGAGGGGCTCTCGGCTCTCACCTTTCTTCTGCTGGCGCTCTGATTGGAATCCGACGCCCGGCTCTGGTTAGCCCTGCTTCTTATTGAAGCTTGAGGGGCATTTTGAGCTTTTCGCTCAATTGGTATTTTTAGCTGGGCTTGCAATTTGCGAAATTTTTGATTTCTGAATTTTCGTATTTCGAATGAACTATTCTGCTGGCGTATACGCAATTTCTGGTGCCCGCAGTTCCTCTCCTTCTCACTTAACAAAATAGAAAAAATAGCGCACTCACACACGGTACACACACTGACGCGTCGAGGATGACCATAAACCGTTGGCTAGAAGCTGGGAATTCTGGAGGAGAACCGAGCCGAACTGAACTGAAGCGAATCGAGGCGAATAGCAAGCGATTTGGGGGAGCGACCGACCGAACGAACCGAACCGATGACTAAACTAAACTATCTTGGCGTTATCATGGCCTGAGCCGAGCTCGATGAGCCCGAGCAGCAGGGGCGAGGAGCGATGCGGCCCCAGGATCATCCGCGGACGGATGTGCGGATATCGGCGTGACTGGGCTATCGGGCTATTTGGTAGATCGGATATGGTGGATATTTCGGATATTCCGTGTCCGTGTCCGTTCTCCGTGTGTTTTGTGTTTGTTGCGTTTGATGATTGCAAGCGTAGAAACTCAACTGAATTCGCGCTAAAGAAGAAGAGAGTGCCGTGCCAGTCTCAGGCGCTGCCTCGGTCGCCGCCTCTGCCTCTGCCTCTGCCAGCGTCGACATCGACCGCACACAAAAAGCGCATTAGGCAGCCAAAAAAGTCAGCACACACCGACACACACAATCGAAACTATTCCCCAAATTTCAGAAGTCTGCGTCTGTGTGTGTGTGTCTGTGTGTGTGTTGCGTGTTGTGCCGTCTGGATACGGGTGCGAGGGAGATGGCGCGACAGAAAGGGGATCGCGCGCACGCTCCGTAGTCCGTTTGTGATCGAAAGGATTGGACAGGGACAGCAACATCAACAGGACAAAGCGAAAGAGCAGGAGGTCCAACTTGGGGCGTATTAGAATGTTGAGTTCCCAGAGACAGCACACTCACAAAGCATTTTTGCAAAAAAAAAAAAAACCCGGTTCCGAATTTTTAATGTTCTCGATCTCTGACTCTCTCTGTCGCTCTCCCGTTTATACTAGAGTCGGATTTTTGTGCATAGAACAAAACACAGTCGCAGTCGCAGCGCTGCCGCCGGCTGACTAATAACTAATAATGGTAAAGAAAGAGAGGAAGTGGTCTTACCCTCCCGCAACCTCTCACCACTTTCCAGACTTTTAAAGAGGGCGACGACATCCGCGGGAAACCCTGGAAAAGGCTCCTGGAAGGAGCATGAAGATCACTTCGCCAGATACTTTATATTCTAAAAGCACACATTTCGCTGAATTTTCTCAGGTCTTCGTTTTTTATTTCTCGCTGCATATAGCCGAAATCTTGGGTATGTGTGTGTGTGTCCGTAGTGCTTACGAACTTTCAAGGCTAAATACTAAATTTTTTGTTGCCTTTGTGGTCGTATTATTATTAAATTTTGTTTGGCGCATTTCGCTAGCCAGCGTTCTCTCTTTCTCGCTTCCTCTCACTCTCGCAGCCTTTAAAATAGTTCTAGAAAAAGTCAAATTTGTTGCAGTCGTTTTTTCGGCTCTCCAACAGCGTGTCTGTGTGTTGGTGTGAGATGTGGTGCGAGTTTGAAAAAAAAGCAATTATTTGGTTGACTGCGCTGTAGCTTATGAAAAGCCAAAAGAGCAGCGACGAACGCGATTAGATAGAGCGGCAAGTAGTTTGTTCAGTTGGAAACTAAATTGTATAATACCAGCGAAAATAGAAGCGTTGGCTGTGAGCCGATCGGTGTGCCGACCGTATCTATATCTACATCTCCTGCACCACCCTCGCAAACTTGTTTGACGCCCCTCACGCTCTCCTCTTGCTTTCTCTTTCTATTGAGTTTGTCCGAATCTTTTGCGGATTTCTTCTGACTCTGCTTTGCCATCGCCTTCGTTCCTTTCGTACTCTTCAGGTGTGTTTGTACGCGGTTTCTATTTTCAAGGTTAGCCGACTTAGCTATGCACACACACATACACATTAAACTCGCAGCTATCCGCTTTTCCATTCCAGCCTCTCCATTCCCCTTCCCTTGCGATAGGAACGGTGGGCGACAAGTTCGTCTACGACAGCTCACAAAACATTAAACAAGGTCAGTCCACATCTACATACTTCCCACCCTTTTCCCCTTTTCCTCCGCTTTTCACTTGTTGCCGGCTAGACGCTGTGGCGCCCACATCGCATTTTCACATGGCAAATCGCACACATTGCAAATACTTTCCTCCTTCCGCCCTTCCGCTCTTTTCCCCCTTACAGGCACCGTATGCCGGCCAAATGTAAAATCTAACGGCCAACACACATACAGGCACACGTGGCGAGAGCCAAGAGTAGTGAAAGCGAAAGTTCTGTGTACAAACTAGCTGAGAGCGATGAGGAGAGAATGGCCGTGAGGGGAGTCGTAAAGAGAGATTTACAACGAGTGCAGAATGCTGGCTTCTGTGTGGGTGAGTCGAATGTCTGTGTGCGGCTAGACAATTGCTAGACGCAAACGGCGCCCACCACCCACTGCATTGTTTGTATGAGTCCGGTATTACGGAACATTTTCATTTGCATATGCAATTTCACACACACTGGGGAGGCGGGAACCTGTAGGGCACCTGATTAATGCGTGTTAATTGGCCCATTAGGCTAATTGTAAGCAACTAGAAGGTATGGGGTAGAGAGGGAGCGGGCAAATAGAAAAAGTAGCACCCATTAAAAGCGAGGGAGCGCTATCGCACGCACAGACACAGAGAGAGAGTAATTTCAAAACAAAACCCAATTCTTCAACTCGTAAACTGAGTCCAAGTTCAAGGTCTCGATTCTCAATTCAATCGCCTCTGCCTCTGCCTCTGCCAACGTCGCTGCCTAGTTAGTGGCGCATAATAGAGAGAGTGCGAGCGAGAGAGCGTTAGAAAGCTCGCCACTGCCATTTTGCAATGGTGTTAGATTGAGAGCGTATGGACAAACCTCTCAACAGAGGCAGTCTGGCCGCTCTCTTCCCCTCCAGCCATATTCCAGGAGGAGGAGGATCGTACCAGACAGAAGAAGAAGAAGTGCCAGCACATCCCTGTTCCCTCTCTCCAGTCTGGAATGCCTATTTCCCCCCCAAAAAAAAGCCTGGCCACTATTGTCTATGTTTCTTTTTTGGGCTTTTGGTGCCTGCGCCGCCTTTTCTTTTTTTTGTTTTGTTTTGTTTTGGCTTGGCTCTCTTCCCTTCCACTTCCCCTCACCAACCGCTTTTCGCATTCCCGCTGACAATGTTGATATCTATTGTTAGTGAGCTGCGACTGCGCCGTCAGCTTCGCCGTCTCTCTTTCGCTTAGTTGTTTTGCATTTTTGCTAATTTGACCTTCACCTTAACCTAGTCATTGTGTGTCGGACATTCGGTCATTTACCCCCGTAAAAATTTGCCAGCCAAAGTCGAAAAGCTTCAGGTAAATAAAAACGCAAGAGTGGGAGAGTGCGCGAGTGTGAGTGAAAGAGAGGGGCGCTGCTTAGGAAGCACAGACGTAAAGCGCTAGACAGAGATTAATGCAGCCTCTGTCCCACTCCTACTCGTTTTCCCACTCAACTATTTCTATTCTCCGCTAGTTTCTATTTGAGCGCTTTTGACGGCGCTCTCTCTCTCCACTGGAAAACTAGCCATGTAAGTTTCGTACAGGCTGCTCTTGAGTCAATTCAAATGGAAAGACGCCGAGTGCGGTGCGAATAGTTTTGCGCTAGATCGGCGCATTCATTTTCCAGCGGCGCTTAGTTTAGTTCGCAGAGAGACGCGCGCGGATCGAAATCGGAGCCCTCCACGGATTTGGAGTTGTTACAAAAGCACAAGCTT